ACTAATATTTTTCACTCAAGTTATTCTCTTTTACTTCCTTTTTCATCGATTTCAGAACATATATAGGACCTTGATTTTAATTTAGGGTTCACGTTGAGACTTCCAGATAAAATGTTCCCTACCAAATGCGATTGAGTTCTTATCCTTGACCCTCCTCTATATATCACAATCCTTGTTAGCTTTCTATGGTGGTTTTATTTGTTCACTTCCTACATTAATCATGTTATTTTATTCTCTTTGATGTCATGTGATAACTACCTTGAGCAATAAGCTTGATTAATAGGCTTGATACGAGGGTTGATTACTCAACTTAGTTACTATATTATTTTAGAAAGTCATTTTTCTTTTTTTATTTCAACTTTTTTTTTTCCACAAAAAAACGACTTTTTGAGATAATAAATACAATCATCCGAAAAATCAACTCTTGAATACAGTCTTTTAAATATTCAGAATAATTGATGATAATGTTAATTAGAACAATAGTTTGTCTAGTGACCATATAAGTTAAGCTTGATTACTGGGCTGAATGAGACATGATTAGTCACTCAAATTGTTTAATCTTTATTAAATTAATGCTCTTCTGGTCTTTTTATATTTGTTGTTTAAGGTTTTAGCACAACACACTTGTTAAAAAGCCTATTTAAAACCCTAGGCTTATGAGCTATATGCTACTCTAAAGGTTGATTAAGACTTATTAAACATGTTCTAAAGAACGAAAAATGATCACATGCTTTTATTTTATTTTGTCAAAAGCAATTTTATACCAGGACTAAAACCCGAGACTTCTACGGTGATAAAAGGAGACTTATGACTTACTGTTCCTTTACGCGGTTTAAAGTTTACAAAAATCATGAAACATGGATTGTTGCAAATTGAGAAGAAAAAAATAAAAGTGTCAATTTGATGGGACCACGTAATAGACTTTGGTCCTAAGTTTACAAGACTATATATGTGGATGGTTGACTTAGTCAATTGAAAGTAACAGGTCAATGCATATTTTCTTTATGTTCCCGTGTAAAACCTGTAAACACAGTGAATATAATGATGATGATTAAATTCGCAGTTTAATTGAACACGAATTTTTTTTTAAATATAATAGTATGACTTACTTAGTTCTTTTATTTTGGTATAATACATAAACATGATTATTAATTTGATTTCAGCTGACTACTACGATCTTTAACTTTGATTGTATACAAGTAAACATTTAAATGTGTATAAAATTGAACAAATATACACATTCGTCCGACATGACAATTTTGTGTGGCGAATATCTATTTGTACAGATCCAAAATTGAAGGACATAAATGTCCGTTGAAATCAAATTAAATGATATATTTATGTATTATGCCTTTTTTTCCCCCTGGTTGTAAAAGAAGGAGCTTTATATCAAGTGGTTTAATAAATAATATTGTGTGGGACATAAGTCATAACTTTGGTACGTATTGTTTCACAAAGTTATATTGGATAAACAAAACCTGTCATATACACAAAGTTATGACCGGTTTGTTCATTTTGGTACAAATTGTTCACAAGGGGATTGACGAAGCTTACTATGTGTTGCTCAATCTTTCATATCCTTTGAGGTTTTGCCGGACTGTAATATTCATTCTACCTATTTTGTTAAATTGTTTATGAGTTCTATCGAACTGGCAAAATGTAGCAATATATAATAGACATGTTTATTAAGTTGAATCGAATTGAACATAAATATATAAATGTTAAACATTTTGATTATCTTCGGATATTAAACTTGTAATAAGAATTACATTTTCGCGAATTTATTACTTTGCAGGAAAAATTTACAAGGATATTGTTGGAAGTGCATATTATGTTGCCCCAGAGGTGTTGAGGCGCAAGTATGGGAAGGAGATAGATGTGTGGAGTGCTGGAGTTATTTTGTACATTTTATTAAGTGGATTTCCTCCTTTCTGGGCTGGTAAGTACACTTTCTTTCGCGTAAAATTCACAAATAGTCACTTGTCGTGGGGTTTCAAATTTCATAATATAACTCGAAACTCCATGACAATAGCTATTTTTCAAAGACGTGGACAAAAAGTGGCATGTAACACTATTTTTACTTCTTTTTTCCTACAATAATATGTTCTTAGGTAGAGTAGAAAAGTTTTTAGTTGCAAACTACTTTGTCAAGAAACTCATGATGAGTTTTAACTAATTCTCTACATTGATGGTGTACTATCAGGTCGCCTAAAAGATAATTGCATGTAACTAACTAAGGTGTCGATTTTGATGAACTAATCTTTTGTTGTAATAGAGATTTTATTAGGGGGAGATTATTCTCTCTGTAGTTTTAATATTTTCTTTTATATTAGTTTTTTATACGTAGATCAACTGAACAAAATGTCTTAAAATATCATATCTCTACTCTTTTAGTATATCGCTCTCATGATTTGCAATTATTAGCTTCCGCATGACGCTCTATCAACTAATGTTCTGTTTTCTTGTACTTGTACATCAGAAACTGAAAAGGGCATATTTGAAGAAATTGTTAAAGGCCAATTGGATTTTGAATCATCTCCATGGCCTTCTATCTCTACCTCAGCAAAGGATCTTGTGAGGAAAATGTTAACAATGGATCCTAAAAAACGTATCACTGCAGATGAAGCCCTCCGTAAGTGCATATACATCTCAATATGTATTAATTTCACGTATAATCACTAAACGTTGAATTGATAACGAAATCATGTTGATAATGTATGATGCAGAACATCCGTGGCTTATGAAAGACGGTGAAGCATCGGACAAGCCTATTAATAGTGCTGTTTTGTCAAGGCTGAAGCAATTTAGAGCAATGAACAAGATGAAGAAACTCGCTCTTAAGGTACTGCAAAGTAACATTTTCTCCCTTTGTTCCAGTTTATGTGACACATTTTTCGTTCTGATGCTGAAATATATATACAAATTCCTTGAAAGGTTATCGCGGAGAACTTATCAGAAGATGAAATCAAGGGACTGAAGCAGATGTTCAATAACATGGATACTGATGGGAGCGGTACAATCACATACGATGAACTTAAAACAGGGCTATCTAGGCTAGGATCAAAGCTCAGTGAATCTGAAATAAAACAACTGATGGATGCAGTAAGAATGTTAGATTTATTTGTGTCAATTTTATTATAATGTATACTTTTTTTTTGCATTACATTTTCATGATTGCAGGCGGATGTTGACAACAGTGGGACTATAGACTATATCGAGTTCATTACTGCTACTATGCATCGACACAAACTCGAAAGAGAGGAGAATTTGTATAAGGCTTTCCAGTTTTTTGACAAAGATAGTAGCGGGTATGTATTTTCTCCATTTTCTTTAATGTCGAACTTATCATGTTCCAAAGGCGCAATATAACAACACTACGATGCATTTCAAAGCATGTTTTACCTCCCCTGACTAGTAACAGAGTCGGAAATTTCTACAAGGGGATTTAACATTTAAGAAAATACAAGGTATATACCGAAAAAATGTTCTTTATCCCAAATGCACAGTATAAATTTCCAATAAACCGGATTCAATTGATAACAACCTAGGGTCATGTTTGTGTTTTTTGAGAACTACAAACATGCAACCTTATTTGCTAATACAGTCAAACCTCTCTGTAATAACGTCGTTTGTCTGGATATTTTTAAGCTGCTATAGTGAAATGTTGTTATTGAGAACATATAATGGAACATAACATCAGAAATCTGCTTCAAAGAAAACTTAGCCATTATAGTGAATTGTTATTCGTGAGTATTGTACATGATTATTGGTTTGATTCAACTGTTTCTCGGTTTTCTTTAACAGATTTATCACAAGAGATGAACTTAGACACGCGATGGAAGAATATGGAATGGGGGATGAAGCTACAATTGATGAAATCCTAGATGATGTTGACACAAACAAAGTTAGCCAATTCTCTTATAATTCTTCTACTTTTTCTTTTCAATGCAACAAAGTTTTGTCATATAATTTCTGTTTTCATAAATGTAGGATGGGCTAATCAACTACGAAGAGTTTGTCGCGATGATGAGGAGAGGAACTGTTGATGAAGTGAAGCCAAGATGAAAAAATTGACCATTTCTTCATCTATATGGTAGAGTTGCAAGCATTTTCCTTGAATAAGATCCTCCTGTTGTGTAAAAATTGTAAAATAACAGCAGTTTCAAAGTTGGGAGAGGAGTGTTCAGTTCTTTGTACAACCAGAAAACTTATTTGAGTGATAAAAAATGTAACGAAGTGCACCTTTGCTTTAAGCTTTTACCAATGTAAAATTAAGTGAAAGTTAAATAAAAATACACACAAAATCTTGTATATTGCTCGTATTCTTTGAAAATATTGTTGTATTCATGTTGGTTTTGAAAGGACTCAACATGCCATTTCGTCATTTTTGAAGAGTCTGAGCAACAAAATAGTATTTAACAAGATCAGAAGATTGAGTTACCTTCAATTTAGAATTTGTAAATACTTGTTCACACATGATGTTTACATCAAATCAATTCAACTTATCACAATTATATGATTTAATAAAGTTAAAATATATTATGTGATTGTTATGTATTCAAACACATACCATGCATTCATCTGATTGATGTAATCATGTAACCGGTGTATGTGTCTTTTCATAAAAATATTAGATAATTTGTTCCTGAAGTCCTCTAATATAACACAAAAGAATACTAGGTAATTGATTTTTCAACTATTCATTAAAATAGTCAAGATGCACGTGATCTGGTTCAATAATACTCTTATTAATCCAAAGGAAACAAAAAACAAGGGAGGTAGAGTACATTCAACCAAGGAACGTTCATCGATTTACATGGATTATACTGAGATGATTTGATTCTCAACCTTTAATCAGAGGCATTGAGTTCAAGCCTCTAGTCCCTATGAATCCATATTTAATCCACTCCAATGTTATTACCAGGCACCGAGCTGAAAATTTCGAAGAAAAAAATCTCTACCTAAAACGACGACGCTTTATTTCATATCCATCTTCTTTTTCACCTGTTCTGAAAATACCGCTAATCCCTTCCATCCTCAAGGGACATTGGCAATGCTAGCACTCAATACTACGTCGTTCTCTTTGCTACCACAAAACCCAAAACCATTTTCTCTTTCTAGGGTTTCAAGCTTCATTTGCAGAGCATTTACCAAATTCCCCGGAGACTCAGATTCCGACGACTCACCGGATGAAATTCCCGGCCGGAGGTCCAATTACTCCGGCGTCAAGCTCGAAGAAACAGTTGGTGGCAAAACCGGAAAGCTCCGACTAGATTCATGGGTCAGTTCCCGGATCGACGGAGTTAGTAGAGCTCGTGTTCAGTCTAGCATCCGCTCTGGCCTTGTTTCCGTCAATGGACGTGTCACTGATAAGGTCTCACTGCTTTCCACTCAAAATTATACATATACTAAAAAATTGAAATAATATTACTAGTAAATCTTTTCAATAATAGAATGTACCAAAATATTATTTAATTTCGTAGTTTTAAACGCGTCACATGAAAAATTGAAATTAAATTGTTGTCAAAACAGGATTTCTACATGATATTTGGAGCCTGATTAAACATTTCTTAAGGATTTCACTGGCTTAAAGTTATGGATTTTTCTCAGTTTTGTTGGTAAAGATTTGATTTTTACTTTGCAGGTCTCACATATGGTAAAAGGTGGAGATAAGGTTGATTGTACAATAGCTGATTTGAAGCCTTTAAGAGCTGAACCAGAGGATATACCATTGGATATAGTGTATGAAGATGAGCATGTTCTTGTTGTTAACAAGCCTGCTCACATGGTAAGCTCTAGAATAATCTACTTCCCTCCGTTTCAATTTGTTTATCTGGTTTTGACTTGGCACAGAGGTGGTGAAAAAAGAAAGACAGACTAAAAAGAAAAGTAAGACAAACAAATTGAAACAGAGGAAATAGTTGTTTCAGGCATGTTATGCATCTTTCTTTGATGAAACATTAATTTTTTTTTTAGCATGCGAATGGAGATATTCAAGCATTTGACCACAGTGGAATCACCTACCGTAGTTTTTTTTTTTGGAGTCTTGTTCGATTTATGTGCTCTTGGATTAGAGGGATTTGAGAGTTTTATTTTGTTGTCCATTTCTAGAGCACAAGTTCATTAACCATGTAATACTCATTGTTAATCAGGAAAGAGAACTCTGATACATGAAGTTCGATGTAATAGTTCCATTCTGGATGTCAGTGTACTTGAACCATTTCCTTAGTTCTAGTAGTGATACAGATTGATTGAAATTAATAACACGGATGTTTGAACTACTACTTGACTGTTTTAGAAAAGCTCAATGGGATTTTTGTTTCAATACAGGTAGTTCATCCTGCACCAGGAAATGCTACTGGAACGCTTGTAAGTGGTATTCTTCATCACTGCAGTCTTCCTACTGTTTCATTTCCGGGTGAGGAAGTGCTTTCTGATGTGGAGGATGCTTCTGATGATGAGTTGAACATGTTTTCTGCCAATCGAAGTCCTAATTATGGTGACTCTTCTGTTATGTGTGAGTCATCTGTTCGGCCAGGAATTGTGCATAGGTTAGACAAAGGAACAAGTGGATTGCTTGTTGTAGCGAAGGTGATTCCTACTTACAGGCTCTGAAGATGGGTAATTCATGTCTAGTTATCTCCTTTACCTTATAAGATAAGTGTGCTTGTGTTACTAGACTATCTTGCTTAGTTTAAATATCTTTCATGTTGTCTCTACAGAACGAGCATTCCCTTGCCGGTCTAGCTGAGCAGTTTAAGAAACATACCATTAAGAGAGTATACGTCAGCATTACTTGTGGGGTACCAGCTTCAGTCGCAGGACGCGTTGATATTCCAATTGGTCGTGATTCTAATAACAGAATCCGTATGGCTGCTATCCCTGGGACACCTAAAAGTGGAAAATCCCGTCATGCTGTCAGTAGGTGCTGGAAACTCTTTCATACTTTGTTTTCTTTGCAATGCGTTGATTAGTATTTGAATGTCAAATTCCACAGCTCCTTCCCTGCTCCGTTTAGATCCACCTCCACAACCACACACACACAACGCACAATCACCCCAAACAAATGTGAAATCCTTGTGGAAAAGGTCTACCTGCTTCTCTTCAAAGTACACGCTGATGTGAATCTTCCAGTGACATATAAATCAAGTAATATTTTCAGGTATAAAGTAATTGAAAAACTTGCTGGGGGTGGCTCGGCATTGGTTGAATGGAGGCTAGAAACTGGTCGCACTCATCAGGTACACAATATCACATGGACTCTTAGTTACTCATGACAAATTTTCACTCTTCTGCCTAAACATTGTCAACTTCATGCTTTGCCATCTTGATTTACTACATTCTTTCAAATCTCAAACATATGTGCTTCAATCTTTCTAGCCCGTTATTCTTAGCATTTGGTTTAACGAAACAGATACGTGCTCATGCGAAGTACCTAGGTATACCTCTTATGGGTGATGAAGTGTATGGAGGTACGAAGAACATGGCCCTTTCGCTTCTTCAGCATAAAACACCACCAATGTTTCATGGGAAACTTTCACAATTGGTGTCTCAAATTGACAGACCTTGCCTCCATGCTTTAACCCTCGGGTAAACATTGAATATTATGTTGCATCAATTCTGCATGACTAAATACATATACATGTATCAGTATCGATATGTGACTTGATTTGCAGATTTAGGCATCCATTCACAGGCGAGAATATACATTTTACGCGGTTGCCTCCTCCTGATTTTGCTGAGATATTAAGCGATCTACGTGCCATCAACACTGAGAAGGTAACTCATCCAAATTACTTCTAATACTAATAATTCCAATCCTCGTATCTCACATTTGGTGATGTGAATAATTTACTTTCAGGTTTTATGAATTCAACACAACATGATACATTGTTTTGATTGAATGTCCATGTAAAAGGAGCAGCAGATTCTTTGATACTAGTTCAACTAAATTTTCTCATACGCTGACATCTCGAACACAGTTTTGATACTGTAATAGATAGTTATAATGAGTTTATTCTTTTTTGTTGTTATATAGTTAAATTACTCTCCTATATTTAATCAGCAGAACTCGAGAAGGCGACACCTGAAGAAGTATCATTCTTTTGCGAGTTTCCTATTTGAACTATCAAATATTTGTGTTTCTACCTAAACTATCACTGACTATTTGTCAAAACATGCCTTGAAACTAACGAGTTTCCTTATACTTCTTGTGTGTTTTTGTACCATTATCTCTCTTTTTCATTTTCCGAAGAACGTTACAGTAAATCAGTCTATAAAACCTAGCCCCATGCAATAAATAACATAATTCAAACTCTTATTTCTAATACATTTAGCTGCCAACTATTCTGTCCTAACTAGACTACCACAACGGTATATTCAGAAACCACAAATATGCATGAGTTCTTCAAAACCGGCAAGCAAATGGCCTGCGTATATGTTAATGGAAGTCTGGCAAATAAGCCTCACATCTGCCCCAGAAGTCTAAACAACCCAAGCAAGCACCATTCTCCACAACTACAATAAGGTTGGGATCCATTACCCCTTGTAACTCGGCCTAAATATCTGAAACGCAAGAAAAAGGTGTCATAACCAAAGTGAAAATGCATTTTCCATGAAGGCAAATACAGATTCTTTCACATTTTACAGCTAAACTGCTTACATTTGGATATAGAGCAAAATATATTGATTCTAAGAAAGTCGTGCATTTTGTGTAATAAGGAGAATTAAGGCTAGCATGCTATAATCCAAATCGGGAAGGCCCTAACTCAGCCAGGATTTATATAAAATCGAAACATCTCTTTGCTGAATGCAAGATGAAAGCTTTCTTCTTCCCTCTAGCTATTAGAGTCAAAGAAATGAATTGCATTCAATTTGAAAGAGAGCGAGAGAGATGATGGTAGCACTTGAGAATTTGATGCGACACTAGCATGAGGCCCTAACTGTCTCACAAGCCTATTTCATTGCTACCATAGAGGAATTGACAGAAATCACAAGTGTTTGCAAGTAATCATAAGCCTACAGGTAAACGGTTAGGGTTGTATTGATTATTAACTCGTTCAGGTGCACAACATACTTTTCACAATACTTGAGACCATGTTTTAATCATCAATCAGCATATATCAAGAGAAAGTTGACTGTGAGGAGTTTTAAGCTAGATATTTGAAAATAATTTCCAAAATGAAGATACCTTTTTGAAAGAAAATTAGCTCTTGTATTCACCAACATGCATCCACTTGGTAGATGACCATTTGTTCCCTTTAATCACAGGGCAACCACCTGGAATAAAATTGTTAAGTTGCACAGATCAAAGTTGTTAGAAGACTAAAAGAAAAAATTAGTTCTTTTAGGGAGTAAAATCAGACATCCACTGCCCAAGACAAGAAGAAACTGACCAAAATTAAACTGTTTGCTACAGGTACACTTGCATCTTTTTCTATCAGAGTTCTTCTAGGGAAGGAAGGAAAGGGGAAACATTTAAATAAGGTTTAAAGGGTGTTAATAGTGGGAGATTAAGGAGAAAGAGAAGCACCATGCAGACTTGACGGATCCAAAGTAGCATCAGGCCGCATGCTCCAGAAAAGCAAAGCATCGCCCATCTTTGGTTTGACAGAGAGCCCCCCTTTGGCACATTCTGACAACTCATTCCACCCAGGACTAGAACTGAAGTTTCCCTTTGCTGCTGGGAAAACAGTCTCACCCCCTTCTTCAACATCTGATCTGCATATGCCCCAAATATGCAAATAAAACAAGCAATTGCTGTGTATTCCTTATGGATGCGACTTAGAAAAAATTCAGAACTTTTACCATATCTATCATGTAATTATTTGAGGAATCATAAATCTTACAGATACATGAGAAGAGTAGCTATGCGTTGGCCCCCATTTTTGGTGTTGAAGTCGTCAAGAAAGTAGTCATAATGAGGCTCATACTTCTGTCCAACTTCATAGTGTAAAACTTGTAGACCTTCTCCATGTTCTGTAAACAAGCTAAGCTAATCAAGGCATTCACAAGGGAAGAAAAACATTATTATGATCCTAACACAGGATGAATACACGTCTGTGCAGAATCAATCTTCATTTCCCTTAAAATTAACATTAGTGACTCTCACAAACAAAAATAGGATCACCCCCTCACGTTTTTGTGTTGTGAAGAGGAAAACCAAACTAGTAAGATCATATTTTGAAGGCCAGGCAAAAGAACAGCCTAAGATATCCCTAGACAGGACAATATATATTTAAGTTCTGCAACTAACATGAATAAAATGGAATGTAAAAATCCTAAACCTCACTTAAGTTAAGCTTAACTATCTAAACCTTCAAAATTAAAGTAATAGAAAAATTTGAAATTTAATGATTACTACTAAGAAGTTTTAAGTTACAACCATTGCTTCTTATAAAAGAACAAATAAAGCACGTAATCGGAGAATGTTTCCCATATATAATTTTTTAATAAGAACTTGTGGATGACAATGACAACAAAGAGTTCATACGCTACGATTTTGTATGGTATCGCACAGTCCTCGTACCTGCAGGAATGAATGTATAATCTGCTATCCTCTTCTCAATATTTCTGATAATTTTATCTCGCCCCCTCCTCAAAAACATTCCCGAACTTGTACGAACCCTGTTATATAAAACTGTCAGAACATCAGTTCCATAGAAAAAACCTTTGTTGTTCGGACTCTCAAAAAATGATGCCGCTCAGGTGTCGTATCCTACAAAAAGGCACTACTTTTGGAGGATCCTACAAACATTTGGTTTCATTTTTGAAGAGTCCAAGCAACATAGGAAAAAGCAATTCCCTCTTCCATCCTATTTCAGATGACACCATTTAACCAACACAAATTTTAGAAAATTAGTAAGATTTATCTACTTTCTGATAGCAGTGGAAAAGAGTAAGTACCGATCGAAAAGTTAACACGTTTGGAAAACATCGCTCAAATTTAGTTCTTAAACTGTGTAGAAGTTGCATAAAATAATTAGTACTATTAAATAGGATGGAGGCAGACATTTTGAGGTGTCTTCAAACTGAAATAGTATCAGATATTGGTTTGGAATGAAGGGCAAAAAATATTATAGATGACGAAGACTTAAAAGATGCTGGTTGTGGCAAACTGGCAATTAATGGAAGTAAAGAAATTAGCAATACAAACCTGCTATCTTTACTCTGACCGGTTTTGCTATCAACAACTGATGACTTCACCATGTGAGGCTTAGCTTGATTTATTAAGTATTCACATTCTTCCTTGGACTGTCGAAATGCAAACCACATTGTCACATTAAAACTTTTCCATTTTACAATACCTTAGTGAATCACAAAAGTAAACACATGTTATAATTAGTATGATCTAACACACATCCAACCTCAAATTGGTTGGGTATACTATATGAATACTTATGTTTTATTTTGATATGTCTATTCTAACGCTAAATAACTAACCTTTAATTCAAATGAGTGGTTCTATAAAATTAGCATGGGTGTTTCCCCGTTCCCCAATCAGATGTTTGGAAGTGAGCTATACTCCACATGGAGCCAAGCAAGTGTATGGCCTTGCCTTTCCATTTGACCTCTTTTCCCACATGACTAGGAATGCTCAGTGACAACCTCTCAATTTTCACCAACTGCCTCTCTTGTTACTAATGTGATCGCACCAATCATGTTCAAGTAAGCTCACTAGATCTCACCTTATACGAGCATACAAATCTCTAACCAAACACCATAACTAATTTTATAGAACAACAATAACAAAACCTTAGCTCACTAGATATTCTCATGCTAAATAATAATTAACCTACAATGCAAATGAGAGATACTATAAAACTAGAGGCTCTCTAAATATCACCCTTACGCGAGCATAGAAATCTCTAACCAAAAACCAGAACTAAAGCAATGTAACAACAACTACTAAACCTTAGCTCACCTATAAGGATATTTTGCTAACAATTCAGTAGACAAATAAGTAACAATTTAACAAAATCAAACCAAAAATGCCAGAGATTATGGTTACATAATGAAGAGCAAGAGCGAAACGCTCACCAAAAAATTGTGGTAAACAAACGCACGAGGCTCCCAAGATAAGATCTCCGTCCATTGCTCGCCTCTTTTCCCCAGTCCGTCACCTTCCCCTCTGCAAATGAATCTCTACTCAGCCATACAGTCCAACAAAAACTCATTGGATCGGAAGCAACAGTTAAAACATACTCCAAGCATATAAAATCAGTGCAATTAATCAATTCTCCGAAATCCAAAACAATATACGTACATGTCTAAGTTGAACCGCTTGAACTTGATGTGATCCTGAGCAGTCGACGACAACTCATCATCAGAACCAACAGGAAGATTGAAAATGCCAAGAGCGAGAAGCATTAGAAGCACAACTGTTAGCATCAGAAGCATCGAAAGTACTAAAACCACTGTCGATGATCTCTTCCCTTGATGCCGATTCAACCTCCCCTTCGCCATTGCTTCACTACAATCTTCACCGAAACCCTAGATTGATCAAATTTAATGCAGCATTCGTTTAGCAAATAAGAGTATTTCCCGGTAACGGAGTTGCTTTTCCCGGTGAGAGTTCGTCAAACGGAAAAAATGAATCGGAGAAATTGAGAAAATCGTATAGGAAGTCTTATTTGACGGTGAATTGTAACTTGTAAGAGAGAATTTATATTTTTATGTATTTTTAGATTATGCTGGAAGAAGATTAAAAATAACGGTTTACGTGAAATGACAAATTAGTCCTTTATGTTGTTTTTTCAAAATTACCTGATTGGGGACTGAGCTTTCGTATTTTGTTTGAAAAGGTATAAAAAGCCCCTGGTTTTCGAAATAGAGCACACTGAATCTAGTTCTCTTTCTCTTGTTTTAATAATATTTAATTAGATTGATTACTTGATGAACGCTCACCAAATTAAGTCATAATTTCAATAGGATAAAGACATTGACGGTAAAAACAATTTTGATTAATGCTTCTGCTCGCGATTATATCTTCTGCTTCAAGTTAAACGCTCATCAATCATCTACATGAGTATATAATCAGAAACCATAATGTGAATTAACATCTTAAGCTAACTATTTCTTAAAACCCAATCAATAGCTTTAGTACGAACCCAGGCTTTGTCTTAAGAGTTCATTTGAATATATACAAATTATCAATTTCAGAATTCAATAACTTAACAAAACTAGAATCCCAAAGTCGTAAGCTTCAATTCTGGCTCTGGCTTTGTTACAATATGGAACTTTTCGAATAGTTTAAGGGCCTCTGCTATGTGGCACTTAAGCTTATGACCATTAAACAGACAAGGTTAAATCCCTACACAAACCAAACAAGTCTAAAAATTCTCTAAAGTTTCTCCTGTTTCTGGAAAGTACAAGTATAATGAAGGTTGAAAGAGTAACGAGAAGATTATAACAATTACAATTGTATTGCATAATCTCCACGCGGAAGAGCTTCACTTGTTAAGGTTCTTGAACTATCACTGTACATTTCACAACACCTGCACAATTAGCATAGCTGAATATCATTCAACAATGGAGAAAAGAAGTGGGAGAGTGAATTGAATAGCACATCAGGATTGTAAAGTAAACCCAGCCCACGTAGTGATGGAGTCTGAATTTTCACTAAGGGGGTTCAAGAATATGAAGAAGTAAAGAGAATTCAACATCAACTCTATATACATACAAAATAATTTTAGCCTAGTATATACAATGCAACTTTCCGCAGAATCCCTTGCCCAACCTGACTCCGCCCCTGAGCCCACTTTGATTGTCAAATTGACATTAATAAGCTTCAAACAGTAACATCACCCTATTATTACCGAGGAGGGGACTGAATTTTCATTTGCGAGCTCGTGAGCATGATTCTAATTCTCCATCTCATTGGTCTACTTTTAATTCTACACGAGGAGAGCTATTTACTCCAAAATAAAACTTCATTTTTCGAATGCCAACCTACATTTACAATTTAGCTCTGCTAACTATGCAATGAAAAGTACTAGTAAAGTATAGTAGATACTATCAAGTTTGATTGCAAAGAAGACATACATTTATCAAATAAACATGTCTAACAATAATGACAATAGTTCCAACTTCCAAACTTTTTCTTTTTTTAACGTTGAAACTGCGTCTTGATTTTATAGGCACTTGAGAAGAATCTTTGTAAAAGGGGAACTAAGCCTGACCTTTAACTACAAGGGTTGATCTTGGAAAACCAAGTTTTGAGAGCTAAATAGATAACAAATCGCTATCATTCGGACAAATTCATGATATTGCGGTGAGAGGAAGGCACACAACATATCAAATTGCTATCATTCTCCTTTTTCTGATTGATTTATGTGGTCATCCATCGACCTTTTGAAACGGACACAAATTTATTAGCGTTTCCGGTAATGCATTTATATCCAATGTAGTTAAGTTCTGCTAATTGTAACTTTCCTGCAAAATCAACCTTACTTTATTCATTTGAGTTCCATTGACCAAAAGTCAATCTGTATTAAAGATTTTAAGTATGTACCAAAAGTCGACCAATCAGCATCTAACTTGAATCCTACTTTAGATTATCCAATCACCCAATCAGTTCCAATTCAAGAAAATAAATGTAATAATGTTCAACGCTAAAAGAAACTGAAGTTAACGTCATCCTGTATATGGTAATATATCTTATAGATAATGTTCTGAGAAAAACATGTTATATGATGGGTGTGTATTGAGGGAAAAAAATTTGACTAACCGGAATATCAAGGAGTATTTGAATTGCCACGTTGCTTTTCGATTTCTTGCTTTTGTTTCTCAGCAAGTTTATCCAAAGCAGCTTGCAGAGCATCCCGGCCTCCAATAAGCAACCTGGTGATGACTTCTGGATCTCTCTCAAATCGTGCCTCCTCAAACTCCTTTCGGACATTTTCTCTGAGTACATCACGCCATAGGTTGCCTTGAGAGTTGGCCCACATGAAGAACCGAGTAGCACGGATGACATCTCGGTAGAGACTTAGAGCCTCACGGCGACTGCTAGTGAGTCGCTGTCTATTTAGGAGCTCGTTCTCGTCATCATCAAGGCTCTTCTCCTTTTTGACCACATGTCTATCCAATAATTCCTCCATAGTGTCTGGACCATGGTGCAGAAAGCGACAGTGATGCAAGAGACATCTTGACTCAAAACTATGATTCACAGCAGTTGAAAGATTTCGGAATTTTTGGATATTAGCAGTCATCTTTCACCTCAGTGACTTGGCTGGTAGGAGCAGAGAAATAAGACTTTAAAACAGGCATATTTTATCCAATTGTCGTACTTCACAAGAAAAAGCCAGTAGATCAAAGTGAAGTGAAAGAAATGATCCAAGTTAAAAACACGTTTCTTCAGAATTTACCAACATCCACACAGAACAGTCTTGAGTTTCTTAAGAATCTATCAAACACAGCAACCGAAAGAGAGCAGAAGGGAAAGAAGTGGTGCATGTCTTGTGGTATGCAAGATACTAGGTGATGGAAAAAACTCCCAACTGACTCTCAAGACCCCTTTTTGGGATAAAATAAGAAACAGATTGTACTCAAGATACTACGTGATGGAACAAATACGCTAGCATGCTGGCATGTATCTAACAAAAGCAATTTCAATCGAACTTAGAACACCTTTCTACTGCGATGCCACTATAGGACTAGAGATACAACGAAACCAAAAAAAACGACTTCTCTTTTTCATTTGACCACTGTGTAGAGAAAGAGCTCCAGGTCAGACAATGGGAGGACTACCGGAGAATCTACATACTCGTTCCATTCAGTTTAATCAAAATTCAAGTTTTAAAAGTTGCTAACCATAGATTTCAAAGCAAATATATTATTGAACACCACAGAAAAAAAGAAAATTAGCAGCAAAGAACCAAACTTTGGCACACATTAAAAGAAAAAGATGAATTAGAATATAAAAAAGATAGCTCAATGCACTAAGCTCCCATAGCAACACATAATACATCAATTTATTCTTCCCTGGCACCTTTTCTAACAGTTGACAATATGATTGAGCATAAAAACTGAATAAACACAATGTAATCAACATCTCAGTTAAATTAAACAACGTATTGGCAATTTGGCAGCATAATACAATAAATTTGACATTTCCCAGAAGAAAAAATAAACAACAACAAGAACAACGTAGCTTTTATAGGGTAATTAATTATAGCATAAACAATTCGGCAACTTTAATATCATTCAGAAAGAGATACAAAGCAGAAAAAAATAATTAAAATATAAAAAAAACGTATTTTGAACCCTAATTAGAGAAAACATTTGAGATCTAACCTGTTACAGAAATCTGCAAATTACTGACTGGAATTAATGAAAGAGAGAAGGAATCTGTTTGTTGTTGGCAAGAACACTTGGGGAAATTAGCATTTTAGGGAGGGAAGAGAAATTGGAAAATAGTGTTGGCAATTTCGGGTTCGAAAATGGGTCAAAATTCAACCCGTTCATATTTTATCTCAGATTTCTGAATCGATACTTCTCGTTTTCTATTACTTGACTCTAGTTAATTTGATATATCTAATTTTAATGAGAGATATATTTTACTAATTACTAGTATTGCTATTAAGTATGTTATATCATTATTATAAGATTATAAGATTTTAATTAACAAGCAATACTAACTAGTTATTTGTGTATTTTAGTTAAGCAAGGATAAATAAAAGAAGGCATAATACGAATGATTGAAAATAATTTATTTATATAGAATAATAAAATTACTAAGTACTTGCATAAATATATAAAAATTATGAAGCTTTAAAATATCTACTTGTAATTCTATATTATCACTTCGTGATTACAAGTATTATTATTTCTACGCAAATTAAGTATTGGGACCAAAAACACTTTTAACCCAACGTCTCAAATGCCAAACAATAATTTCACTAACAAATTCTAAGAACGTTTCACATGAAACCTTTTCCATTGAGTCATACAGTATCGTCTTCAACTCCCAATCACTTTAACGCCATTGATTAACATTGATTCTTTGACCTTTACATAATATAATGTTGTTTTAATATTCAGATTTTGATAGAGGTAGTTGCAAATCCTTTATTACTATAAGCTTCACTTTTTCGTTAGATATCTTCATCGGTATAAAAGATTATCATAATTTACTTTTAAATAATTTGGTGCAATGTAAATGTCAAAGGACTATAATTTCGTTATTTATAAACAATTATCAACACGGGTTAGGAAAAAAAATTGTTCTAATTTTAGTAGTATTAAAACCATTCCTAATTCCAAAAAGAATTGGATTAGTTTTTTTCTTCAATCTTTTTTTAATTAAATAAAATAAATTATTAGGGTTTCAAAAAAAAAGTGTTTGGGGTGGAGAGTGGGAGTGGGGTGGGGTGGGGTACATAGGTTAGTAGTTAGCAGCAAATTCCTGAACACAGCTGAATCCATGGCCGTCACAAAATCTATGGCACGCTTGAATTTCTGCCGCTATTTCCTCAGTTCATTCTCTTCTCAGAGCAAATTTAGATTCTTCAGCTCTGTTTCAACCTCTGAGATCGCCGCCGCCGGAGGAGGCGGCGGAAGTGACGGCGACGGTGAAGGTGAAAATGGGGGACCCATTTACCGAACTGAGGTGTTATCTGAAGAAGAAGCTCAAATAGCTGAAAAGATTCATTCTTTAATCAAAGATCATCACCGGAAAAACCCTACAGCTAGTCCCACTTCCATTCCCTTAAACCCTAACATCACTTTCCCAACTCTCTCCTTCGATTTTTCTAGTATCTCCGATAACCGGTCCATTTCCCCGCCGGTCGTCAGCCGGGTCATCGAGAAATGCGGGTCGGTTCGCCATGGTATCCCATTTTCACAGGCTCTAGCTTTCTTCAATTGGGCTGCAGCTCGTGATTCGTGTGGATCTTTCTTAAACCCTGAGCCTTACAATGAAATGATTGATCTTGCTGGAAAGGTACGTCAATTTGATGTTGCTTGGCATTTGATTGATTCAATGAAACTGAAAAATATCAAAATCCCAATTGAAACTTTTTCGATTTTGATTCGTCGTTATGTTCGTGCTGGTCTTGCTTCTGAAGCTGTTCATACGTTTAATCGAATGGAGGATTATGATTGTAAGCCAGATAGGAATGCTTTTTCTGTAGTTATAGGGATTTTGTGTAAGAAAAGAAGGGCAGCTGAAGCACAATCGTTTTTTGATAGCTTGAAGGATAAATTCGAGGCTGATGTTGTGTTATACACTAGTTTGGTTCATGGTTGGTGTCGAGCAGGTAATATATCCGAAGCAGAAAGGATTTTTCGAGATATGAAGGATGCAGGGGTCCAGCCTAATGTGTATACTTATTCTATTGTGATTGATGCATTGTGTAGGTCGGGGCAAACTACTCGTGCCTATGATGTTTTTTCGGAGATGATTGATGTTGGTTGTCAACCTAATGCTATTACGTTTAATAACCTTATGCGTGTCCACGTGAAGGCAGGGAGAACAGAGAAGGTACTCCAGGTGTATAATCAGATGAAGAGACTATCATGCTCTCCTGATGTTATCACGTATAACTTTTTGATCGATGCTCATTGTAGGGATGAGAATCGTGATGAAGCTCTTAAGGTGGTTAACGTTATGGCTAAGAAAGGATGTGAACCAAATGCTTCTACTTTTAACCCTATTTTTAGATGCATTGCCAAGGCTCGTGATGTAAATGCTGCTCATCGATTGTATGCCAAGATGAAGGAGTTGAACTGTAAGCCTAATACAGTGACGTGCAATATATTGATGAAGATGTTTGTGGAATCAAAATCTACTGACATGGTTATCAAGCTCAGAAAAGAAATGGACGAGAATGAAGTAGAGCCTAATGTGAACACTTTCAAGATTCTGATTTCCATGTACTGTGGGATGGGACATTGGAATAATGCTTATAAATATTTCAGAGAAATGATCGAGGAGAAGTGCTTGAGACCAAGTGAGTCGGTTTATGACATGGTTCTAAAGCAATTAAGGAAGGCAGGGCAACTAAGGAAACACGAAGAATTGGTGGAGAAGATGGTTGATCGGGGCTTTGCTACTCGTTCTGTGTAAAAGGCGTTTGGAATGTAGAACATATCAAAGCTTGGAGGAGAGAAGCCTTTTTCGATCTTGCATTGGTACTCCACTCTTCACTTTTGTCTACTTACTGCTGGAACATTTCAATCATAGTAGCAAATTCATTTCCTTTTAGTAAGTTAAGTGAAGATCGTTTTTCTTTCTGCTGAATGATAACTTAAATGAGAAATATCACGCGTCTGTTGATCTCAGATAATCAAGGTAAAGACATTAGAGTGTTTGATCTTGCAGTATAGACTTTAACTCGTATCGGGTTGTTTTCCCTTCTAAATTTTTGAGTACATTGTACAATATTTTGCTTCTTTTTGCCATGTAAGTCAAAGAGTAATCAAATGTTTGGATACACTTTTCTTGAAATAAAGTTTAGCATAGTACATTGCATAAATGACATGTCAAATTATATTGAGAGTGTAAATAATCTTTACATTGTCAACGTATATAACTTAATTTAAATCCGTTGGATCGGACCTTTTCAGGGGGCCTTTGGAGTGGTCATCTGAATTGCTAGCCCCGGCAACGAGTTAAACGACTGCAGCCTCTGTGATAATGATTAGCTGCAGAGCTTGAAAATGCGACAAGTAAAATGAAGCAAAGAACAATAACAACGTTAATGTTTTTGTTTCCACTTGTTGATGCCATTTTCTTGGTTATGTTTTTTTTTGTGGATATTAGAGACTAAAAAATCGTTAATATTTATACTAATGTTCAATTCTATTAATATGTAAAAATAGCCTAAGGTAGTACGAATTTTGAGGAATTCCATTGAAATTTGGACAAAGATATTTCTTATTCCCTTTTCTCGTAATGTTTGTGGTTTGTTAAAATTTTGATACTACAAAATAGAGATAAATCCAAAATTTTAAAGATTAATATTATTCAAAATTTCGTCGATCCGATGTTACTAATTTTAGTTTTTGTATTGAAACCTCATTTTATTACAAATGTATGTTTTCATCAAAATAATAAGAAAAAAAAAAAAAAAAAAAAAAAAAGAAAGAAGAAAATATACGTCTGAAAGAAAAATAGCTAGTACTAGTGAAAGAGCGTATATTCTATAACGAAATTAAAATATTTTGAGAACTCTACAGAGATCAAATTAGTTCTTAGCGAGCAAATTATATTTTTTAACTTCTATCATTCCCAAATTCTCAATCCGACTACACCGACATGTATCTCTATCATTCACAAATTCTCAATCCGACTCGACCTATACGTATCTCTAATCTCTATCATTCACAAATTCTCAATCCGACTCGACCTACACGTATCTCTATCATTCACATATAGGTAATCTTTTAAAAAATAGTCAAAGTTAACCTAATATTTAGCAATGTTAATTTTTTTTTACCAATAAGTAGAATATCAAAAGTAATATCATACTTTTGGAGTATTTCAAATCTATTTCATCAAATCAAAATAAAAGAAATGGTTCGGTACATTTTTTAAGTAGAATGCCAATAACTTCCTATATTTGAATGTAGTTTAAAAATCTATTTGAAGTGAAAAAAGAAAAAGAAAAAACTGATTTGTTTTACTTTTTTTTTCATCAGATGATTTGATTTACTTGGGGCTCTATTTTTGGCGCTTAAATCAGATGCTTTTGTGGGCTTAAAGTATTATTCACCTTGCGCGATAATTAAGGAGCGTGAATTTGAATTTCTCCCCAAAATAAAAAATAAATTTCGAAATTAATTGACTAATTAGTTATAAGAATGTGTATGTTACTATAGAGATCAAGGGGAAACCGATTATTCATGTAAAATCGAAGAGCAAATGATTTATTAATTCCTCATGTTTATTTCACATATACATGAATTGATACATAACTTTTCGAAGAAACAATTAAATAACATAGTAGTATTAAAGTATATTAATAGTGTAGATATTTATTATATTTTCAACATATATATATATAATGACGCGAATCGACCTTTTTAGGGTTGGCTATCTGTATCTTTGCGGCAACGAGTTAGAGCACTGCATCCTCTGTGATAATGATTAGGTGGATTTTTTGATTTTTCGCCGCTTGTACTATGATTTGGTGGAAACTTTATATGTTTTTTGCTATCGGAAACATCCTTCGCAGAGCTTGAAAATGCGATAAGTAAAATGAAGCAAAGAACAATAATAACATTAATGTTTTTGTTTCCACTTATTGAAGCCATTTCTTCGATATGTTTTTTTGATGTATATGGACATTAAAAATTTGTTAATATTTATACTAATGTTCAATTCTATTAATATGTAAAAATAGCCTAAGGTAGTACGAATTTCGAGGAATTCCGTTGAAATTTGGATAGAGACTACTATTTGTTATTCCTTGGTCTCAAAAACAATTTGTGGTTAGTTAAAATTTTAACCAAAATTAGTGGTGGATCAAATATAGTCAAACTTAAAATTTTCATACGGGGCATTGATAGTTCCTTATATTTGCAATATTGATATAATTTTTTATCCTTTTTCAAATTATCGTCTATTTTTAACGTTTTATTTTGTTCATAATTTAGTATATGAAATGTTAAGTCGTTTTCCTCTCTATGATAAGTAGAAACAATTACTTCATTTGAGCAAAGATGAGAAGAAGAGTGCTCTCACCTTTATGTTATTGCACGTGAAATAAATTGACGTGATGAACTTCTAATTTTTTAAAAAAAAAAGAAAAAAGAAGAGAGAGACTATTAACCTGTTTGGATTGATTTAAAAAAAAGTAGTTCTTAAATAAAAAATAAAAAGTCAAACTTAAATAACTTTTTTAAGTCAAAAAATAAAAAGTAGGGGATACTTATTTTTGGTTTTAAACTTATTTTAAGTCATTTTAAACTTATTTTAAATTATTTTTTTAACCTTGACAAAAACTTCCTAACTTAATTTAAGTTATTTTTGGCTTATTTTAAGTTATTTTATATTTGTCAAATACTTTCAGAAATAAAAAACTGACTTAAAATAGGTTTGACCAACTTTTAAGTCAATCTAAACACCCTTTAAAGTATGAGGGTGGACCAAAAATGTACTAATACTATAAATATGGAGGACCATTAGTGCTTCATGTAAAAGAACAGAGATGATATTGAATCTAACCCAAAAATAAGTGGTCGATTTAAGATTTTTCTCAAAAAAAAGATGCAGCAATAAATAAATCAAGAACCAACTTCTCATGTTGAATTTGTGAACATTGTTACATAAGAATAAAGTGTTTTGTTATTGAAAAACGAAAATGTTAAACTCAATAGTACAAATTATTAAAAATCTGTTATTGACTTATTGCTTTCTCAGAGCTAGAACTCGAGATTCGAGAATTAGGTGCCATCACCCCGGGTGCGGTCCAAATTACCACCACGACAACGAGTTAAAGGACTGCAGCCTCTTGTATAAGGATTTGCTGGAATTTTTGGTTGATTTTTAGTCTCATTTAGAGGTGATGGAAATTTTATGTACTTAATGGCATTAGAAACCTCAAAAAACATGAAAATACAATTAGTGAAAAGCAAATTAGAATAACAACGTTATTTTTTGTATTTCCACTTGACATAGTCATTTCTTGGTGATGGTATATGTGAAAGTTACATGAAGCATAAATAATGCAATTTAATGAACTTGTAACTTGCCTTCAAGGTATAGTAATTAAGAAAATTGAGATACATCATGTATTGGATTTTTTTACTAATCATATTAATTAAAGAGGAACGTGAATTGATAGTAAGTAGTAGTAATTAACATGAAACGGAAGGAGTAGTTAATTAAAGGAAGTCTTCTTTTGTGTTTTTTTTTAACTATCTCGTGTTATTTACTTATTAACTTGCAATTTCAAAGGGGTGATTTACAAGAATGATCTTGGGTGAGCGATTTTGATTTTTTTACTTCACTTTGTCCTAGGAACAAAACTTCAAATTTAACAATGTTTTACTTTTGACTTTTGACGTTGAAGGTTTTCTTATGTGGTAAACGAGAGTCAAAAGTTCAAGATCACCTATTTTAATTTTATGATTATTGGGTGTAATATTCATCATTCAATCTGATTCATGATATCTTTATTCCTCGAGATCAAGATTTTTGCATGTTAGACTTACAGAAACACTTGAGAAAAATCTTATACCTAGATTAAATATTGATTCGTTGGAATTTTGATAATATGGACTTTTAGTTTATGAATTTTAAACCATATTTTTTTTCACTTACAAAAGTTCAAATAGTCAAAGAAAATAATGGAAGCGGGTCAATAGGAGAATCCTTAAAAACTTTGTGCTAATTGTTTCGAGATCCAATATTCTCCTCTTATCCCAAAGTTTTCCCATAAAATTGTAATTAGATTCTATTCTTCTCCCACCATTCCCCAAAATAAAGATGGAATATAAAATTTACGTGTTTCTATAATAAACTATAATAATACGGGTAAACAATATAAATCCCACTAGTTTAGGAGCTAATTACCTCTCTTCCCGTGAGTTTTCGATATTACAATTTCTGCCATATTTTGGTTTCAAATACATGTACATAACATGTTTAGATACATGTATCTCGGATACATACTATGCAGATACATCTAATTATATGTATCTAAATATAAAAGGTAGTTTAGATACATGTATCTCGGATACATGCTAAGCAGATACATCTAATTATATGTATATAAATATGGAAAGTAACGTAAACACATCAATTTAGGAGGAAATCACGCGTTTTCCTATTAATTTCTTCTCCAATTCTTCCATGAATTTCCTCTCCCAAAAATTTCAAAAAAATAATAAATTTCTTCTCATTTTTTTGAGCATCAGAATTTTTTTCTTATAGGTACATAATCTTAATTCAGATACGTGTACACTTTATGAGATACACAAATTTTTAATTAGATACATGTATATACACACAACTAACTAGATACATATTTTTACCACCATCTCTCTTCCCTTTCCCCTTCGTCTCTCTCATCTTTGGCAGTAGAAAAAGTGGCCATTGATGCCACTAGTAAGAAAATAATAAGTGTTTTGCTGTCAAATCAGTTCAATATACAAAAGTTTTGATTCTTCAAGTTATAATTAATTAGATATTAGACTTCCGCATGTTGATATATAGTCTTAGAGAAGACATGCCCATTGATGCATTCTTCTGCTCCATCATTGTCTTTTGGGATGCGATGGGAGTGGAAGGATTAGGAGAGAGAGTAGGTTGATCATTTGGAGTGACGATAAATTAGGGGAGAGGGGATGACGTGAGAGATAATTTGAATTGCTAATCGGAATTTGAATTTTAAGATAATTATTCAACACAATATTTAAGGAACTTGTATAACTGATTAAATTTTTTAAAATATATGATATAATTATTAAAAATGATATTATATGTAATTGTTTTAAACTAGAGGTAAAATAAGTATATATGATAGTGAATTATGTTTAGATAAGTAGTTTTTCCTTCTTTTTTTAGTAACATTTTAATTTCAGCTTTTCACGTGACATGTTTAAGGCTACAAGATCAAAGGGCATTTTGTACATTTGACATAACTTTAATTTAGGACCACAAGATTCAAAAATCTTCTTTATTTCTTAAACTCCGTGCCAAGTAAAACTAGACCATTCTTTGTGAAACGGAGGGAGTATGATTTACAATCGTGTATATATATACTCGCATATATTCTTAAAGTTACACAATAGATCCGATTGGCAAACACGAACTAACTCAAATTCAAAGAAAGAGTTGTCACTTTAATTGCAAACTCATCATACATTCAACTCTTATAACGATCTTAAAGTATGATGAGTTTATAACTATTACCGTAGATCCGTCGCTACGAACATCACGCACACGAAATTAAAGAAAGAATAGCTACTTGACAGCTAGTCGGACGTATTTTTAATTAAAATCTTGTAGTAGGTCAATGCCAATGTTGGTTTTATAATTATAAGGAGTTAACCAAGTAAACGTAAACAATCAACCATTATTTTATTTTTCTAACTTATAATTTAAAAATCAAGTGGAATTGTAAATCAGAAGGCAACAATTTAATGGTAGTAGCTGCTTCCACGTTACATTACTTATATTACATGTAAGGTTCAATTGATATATATATATATCATACCCTTCTTGTATATTATATTATGAGTATATCCATGAGTTATATATATCATACACATTACGTAAATGCTTACGACATTCTGCAGCTATTAGATTGCTATTGACTTTATATGTACATGTCTTTTTCTTAATAATTATATATAATTACCAATTCTATAGTATTAATCATTTTGAGATCTGACGAAATGATAAATGTTTTCTAGTTTTAATCGATAGTCTCAAATTTATAATTTGATCTCACGAATAATGTTATATTTGTTTGTTGTGCTAAACTCTTTATAATGGACTTTCTTAATCGAATCAAAAATGTATTTTTTTAAACGTGCAAAAATTTCATACTCCAAACAATTAAAAATATGCTCTAACAAATTATCTGTACAACATTAAAGAATATGTGAAATATCTTTGAAAACTATGGTCCAAATTCAATTTTGGCTGCTTATTTGGACCCTACCCAAAAACTGCATAATAATAGTTGCCACCAAACAAAATTTGTTGTTAGATGTGAAGTATGAACATACATATGCCAATTACGTGTGTGTACCACAAAAATTACGTGTCCGATCAAAATAACACTTTTTTTTTTTCATTTGGTATTTAAAGTTTTAATTAAATTTGAACAGTGTACTGCATAACCGACGCTCCCCATATGATTTTTTTTATCCTTTTACTAGTGTATTTTTTCTCCATTTAGTAGGGTTGATATTAGACGACTTTTTATTGTTGTTCTAATTTTGAATCCCCCCCCCCCCACCCCATTTAGTACTAGGGTTGATATTAGACGCCTTTTTTTTGTTCCAATTTTGAATTAAGAACGTGGCCACAAGGTTCATACAATTTTTTCCCTTCTATCTCGAAGTATCTGTTCACCCGAAATTCTATCGCCAAACGAATTTTAATCGTAACATGAATATATATCAGAGTTCAAAATCCTCCAAAATCCTAGATTACGATTTATTATTTTCAAAATTCGCGTGCCTCTATATTTTTGAAAGATTCGAGCAAAATATCATTTCCAAGTAAACTAAGTATAGGGTGAAATGAATAAAGAACAACGAATCAATGAAAAGGACAAGCTTTAATCGTAACATGAATATATACAGGATTTCATAAAAATAAAACTAAACTATATTACTTAAATAGTTGAATTCTTCAAAAATATTGTCATACCTGTATCAGATCCAAGATTCAAGTAACATAGTTTACAACATGATCATTTGTAAACTAATTATAAGCTTAAATGAATCAACAACACCAAAATCAACTAAACAAACTTATTTTTTCAATTGAAGAGGATTTGGTTTTGTCATAGTTCTTCTTTTCCATAAATTAATTTCCTTTTTTGGCTCCAAAGTAAAATTTGGTCTATTATCTCTTCCTACTAAAATTGGAGCTGAAAATGGAATTATTACCTCTTCTTCATCTTCATCTTCATCTTCATCTCCAACGCGATAATTATCTCTATCATCATCGGAATAATATTTCCGATGATCATCAGGTGTAATTTGTACGTTTTTCCAATCGAAATTCGATAAATTACCTTCACGACCACTAGCATATTTCCTCATTTGACTCAAACAGGGTGCTCTGTTTTCTACTTCACAAATAATATCACTTGAATTTTTATTAACATCGATTTTTCTTCGTCTTTGAAATATATTTCTAAAATTAGAGCTTGATGACGATTTCTTCTTCTTATTACTCGGATTTTTTTCCAGTGATTTGGGGCATTCCTTTTTCTTCGATTTATTGAGATTCTTCCTCTGTTTGATCTGACCAATGCACGAAACTTTTGGCGATGTTGGTTCTTCTTGATTTGTTTCGCTATTTGATTTTCTATTTCTAGCTTCAACTGGGATTATTGATATAATTGGACCAGAAAATCCTTTGTGATTATGATGAAATCTTTTTTCTCTACCAGGACTAAAAGGGTGATTTTGGAATATAACTGTTGCTGCTACTGCTTTTGGTAAAAACTTCAAGATCATGTTTTTCTTTGGCTTGGTTGGTTTTTCCTTCTCCATTTTACAATTTTTTTTAGATTTTTTGAATTTTTGTTGGTGTTGATATGAAGAAAAAAAATATCTTAGTTTTTGATGTTGAAATGAATAAATTTGAGATGTTTAGGTTGTATTTATATAGGGGTGGGTGGGTGGGTGGGGGAAGGGTACAAGAAAGGAGGTTATATAAAGGTAAGGATTGGATTATTGACTGAGAAAATGTCTAAAGAGTCAAAAATAGATAAATACTATTGACTAAGCAAAACCACAGGACAAATCAGTGTAATAAGTATTAAATAAGATAAGATTGATTTTATTTTGATGCAATTTTATTTAATTTTTTGGAGATTTTTCATAAATATAAAGGTTTTGAAAATATTAATGTTCCCCAGCTAAATATATAATATTAATTTGGGGGAAATCATTATGTATAGATTGTATAAAATTTAAAATAGTCTATAATTAAAGATGTTAATAGACAAATATGAGTTAAATTGACTTTGTGTATTTATACATATTGTATATGTCCGCAACCTTTGGGTTGGAAGTAGGGTGTTTACCATCTGAACAATTTTCTCTTGTCATAGTTGTAGGGTGTAATTTTTTTCTTCTATTAATTTATTGATGATGGTGGTGTTTTGTGTTTGCTTTCTTATTAAAATTGCTTTGAGATGTTATACTTGAATTGAGGGTCTATCACAAAAATAGTTTTTTTTTTTTAATCTCTATGTGATAGAGGTAAATCTGCATAACTCTATCCTCCTTAAACATCACCCGTAAAACTACACCATAATTATAGTTGATATTTTGGATTCAATTAACTTACGCGTTTCAGATATGAATTTCAAATATTAAGTTTATAAGTTTTCAATGTTAAATTTGCTAAATTTCAATATTCTTTAGATTATAGGACACAAAATATGTATTAAATAACTCTACCCCCAATAAAATTAAACTTAAGCAGATTGGAAGATATACCTAATATTCTTTGCCTAGCTAAATTTGAACATGAGATCTTTCTTGTTTCTTGTTCACTTCATTAAGCAAAGCAATTAATAGTTCAAAACTAAGTAGTATTACGTATTTACTATTCCACTTCATATTAGTTGTGTATTTTTTTCTTTATATATCTTTGATGAAATAATAAATAAGAAGAATAGTTTTACTAATTTACCATCTTAGAAATTTTCTTACACTTTCAAAATCATTAATTATAAGGGTAAATGAAAAAAATTAATTAATTCCATCTTGATTTATAAATTAATAAATAATTTGAGATAACTATTTTTAGTAACGTGAACAACAAATATAGAATGTAGAAGTATATTCAAATCTTAAAAGGCGTGAAACTACGTGCTAAATCAACTTTGCCGACATACTAGGAGTTGTTGTCCAATACAAGTTGCCATTGCTAATTAATTAGTACATTAATTGACCTGTTAAACTTATCAAATTAACTCCTAGGCATTTTCTTAATCTTTGTTGTACTTTTTCTCTTTTAGGTAGCTAGAGAATTAGTGTCACGTAACGTAATATATACAGCAACAAAAAAAACGACTCAATCTCAAATTATATTATATTATATCTAGCTTCTGATTTGTTTTTTAATATAAATAAACTCAATTTATTTAACATTAATGAAGCTTACCTAATTGCTTAATTTATTATTTGATGGGATAAAATCAAGATAATGAATAATCAAAATCTCCTTTGTCATAACGTTTAGTGGCAGAGGCAAATTCGAGATATAAAATTATTGCAATCAAAATTGTATATAATACTAGTGGTAAACCTAGAAATTTTGTTAGGAATATCTAAAATTTAATATATATGTATGAAAAATATTTTTTATCAATATGTTACGCACAATTTTCTATAGTAACGTATATAATTTTTTGAAAGAAGGGTATCCGTAATACAAATACAAACTTAAGCCCATAATGATCGTCTCACAAATCAAATGTCCCAGTGATAAAATATAAATACCCTCAACATTTCTCAACAAATTTTAGTAAGTAACCTTAACACCTTGTTATATAAGAATTTTTTTGATAAGTGCCTAATTTAATATTGCGACATAATGTGATGCCTCAACATTTCTCAACAAATTTTAGTAAGTAACCTTAACACCTAGTAATATAAGAATTTTTTCGATAAGTGCCTAATTTAATATTGCGACATAACATGATGCCTCAACAAATTTTAGTAAGTAACCTTAACTCCTTGTTATATAAGAATTTCTTCGTTAAGCGCCTAATTTAATATTGCAACATAACGTCATCACATGACTCAACTAGAACATCACAAGACCTCAACTAATCTAGTTGAGTCATGTAATGATCGAACTCACCACCTCAATAATATTTCACTCTCTTCCCATCCTTAAACATTTTTTCTAAGTTAGGATTTTTCGAGCGCTTTAATTAAGATCATTTCAAGCTAAATGATTCAACAAAATCAAGGGTAATAAGGATTACTTAACTAAGAACATTCTCATTCAAAATCAATTATCATGACAATCTTAATCACTTACAACATAGTTCACAAACTAAACATACCAAAACTTAAATCTCAACTTGGTTTTTTTCCCACTTAACTAGTCCCCATAATCATTTAACACAAATCAAATGTCCCAATTGAGTATATAATATAACTTCAACAATTTTAATAAGTAACCCTAACTCCTTGGTATCTAAGAATTTCTCCAATAAGTTCACCTTTCCCAGAACCAACATACCTTCCACAAATCTCACCATCTCTTATAAACAAAAATGTAGGCACTTCAATAACATCCATGTCTTTCAAAAACTGCATACAACTATCATTCTCATCGCCATTCATTCTCGCGAACACGACTGTATCAGCCATCTGCTTCGATAGCTTGATCACCGTTGGATAAACTTTCACACATGGTCCACAATGCTTCAATCCAACATCCAGGACTATTAACTTTTTATCGATTTTGTGATCTTCGATTACCTTTTCAACGTCTTCTCTGCTGTGGAGCTGCACTACTTCCGAGTGGCTGTCACCGTAGTAGAGTACATCACCCGCTAGTTGGTCCGGCCCAATGCCTTCTTCCTCGTGGATCTTCTCCATGCTTTTGTAGAAGTTGAAATGTGGTACCTATAGGGAAAAAAAAAAGAGACCTTAATATTTCATTTATCTTTTAATCATCTCGAGTTTGATAGTAATTGATAACAATAGGGGTATATATGAGCCACGAGGGGTATATCAACTTTAAATGACAAAGTTGAGGGGTATATCAGACACTTTTCTCTATTATTATCGGGTCGTGCACGTTATATATATGGGTGGAAGTTGTAGCGAGATAGTAACTATAGACTTTACTTTATACATTGGAATGTAAGGGTCATAGTGTGTTTAGTACGAGTTCAATCAAAACTAGTAACTAATTTGGCTCATCCTATATATTTATCGTGAAATTCACCAAGTATATTATACATATAAACTTCAAGTTTTGAACCAATAAATTTCAAATGCTCGATCCATGTCTAGTTATTAAAGAGATCATCTTAAGAAGGGGTTGTAGGTTTACTTTATATGGATTCACTATACTGTTTAGTATTATAATGCGAAATATATAAAAAAAAATCACTAAAATTTCAATTAATATTATAGTTTTGAAGTTTGATTTCAAAATATCTGGCTAAGATTTTCCAAAATTGAACCTATCAAGTTAGTCTGAATATTGGAATCGCCTCTGATCGAAAGCTAGATCTAGTTCCATTATATTATATATACGCCAATCAATTTACTAGTTATATTCCATGTATATCTCCATCCATTTCAATTCATGTAACATCAAGATCGACAAGTTAAATTTCTTAAAACTGCATGCTTATTTAGACTATAGTCACATAAATTGAAACATACGTAATAATATGTGTAAATTTCTAACGTTACCTTGTCAATCTTTTCCCTCCGGCAGAGTGCCTTAGTCTTGTCCGTTTCATCTCCGATCACCAACAAGAAATCGACATCGTTACACGTCTTACTTAAATTCACCATAAAAGGATAAATATTTTTGGAACGTTCACTATCTTTGCCTGCAAATTCAACCACAACTAGTCGATTTTTCGCCTTTTTTAATGCTTCATCCAATTCCTCCATACTATTAACCTTTTGTACTCTTTCACTTTTGGCCACTTTTTTCTCAACATCAGGTGCTGCTGTTGCCTTTGTAATCAATAAGGGCTTGTTTGTTTTGAGGTTCTTGAAAATTGATTGTTTGGATTTCTCAAAAGGGAAATTGGAGTAAAGTGAAGGGCTAATTTTTGTAATTGAAGCTAGATTTGGAGAGGGTTTGAGCAAAAAATTTGTGAGAGTTGCCATAGATTAAAGAATTTTTTTTTCAAGAATAGCCACAAAAGAAAGAGGGATGTCAAGTTTAGAAGAAAGGGGGGAATAGAAGTGTAGTTGATATGAGGTTGTGACACTATTGGATTGGAGTATCTATAGAAATCAACTTGATAGACTTTGGTTACATAAGAACCACATATATATGAAAAGAATATCAAGTTATCTAGATTTTTTTGCTTATTTGTTGTCTTTATATGTGATATTCTTTGGGTCTTATAAAAATCATAAAAAAAGAGTTTGATAGGCAATTGACTTGTAATTTGTTTGCCAAGTTTTTAAAAATTAATTTTATTTTATTTTTTAAAAAAAGTTGATAAGAAACAATTGTGTGATAAGAAATTTTAAAAATACTTTTGAACGTAATTAATGTTTGATCAAACTTTTAAAAAGTGTATTTATATTTTTCTCAAAAATGCTTTTAGTAAAAATTACCTTTTTAGCTTCTAAAAAGCAGTTTCGTTACTAGTTGAAAAATGCTTATTTTCTCCCAAAAGCCTGACCTCCCAAAAGCTTTGCCAAATAGACTATTAGTTAAAAGTTGGATAGTTCGATGCACCGATGCAAGCATCAGTAGTTGATTCATCAGCTCTAATTCATAATTTATAGATTTCACGGAGGTAACTTTATTTTGCTCCAAAAAAATTCTTTTATCATAATAGACTTTAGCTGAAGATTTTTTTTGGTTTTATGTATGCACTTCTTACATAATAGATGTATTTTGTTATATTATACGTGGACTAGCTTATTTCTTTTGCCGTAAGAGGTTCGATTATATAATCTTAGTTTGACTTAGACACATTTGTTTTCTTTTTAAGAGTTCTAAAATGTCAAGTGATTGATATTTTGTAACAAAGTTTGAAATGAGAAGCAACGTGTTAGGCATACGATTATTCTTCCATTTATACTTTTTTCCAATTTGTTTTTAAAAAAATGTTCTACTTATTTAGAAATAATTTAACTTTAACCTTCGAATTTCATTCTTAATAAAATGATTTATATCCGAAATGTTTTAGTTGTCTAAATTTGTTTTAAATCACGTATACAAAAAAAAGATCTTTTATTCTTTCTTGTTCAATCAAACACTGTCACATAAATTGTGAAGACGAAATTAGAAATTGATAAAAATTGAAGAGAAATCCACACTGGACTGTATAAGAAGCCCAGAGAATAATCACATGAAATTTCAAGGGTACCAACAGGCATAGATCAATTGCAGAGCCCAAAGACCAGTTTTATTGGAGCCCATATAAACATCCTAACACTAAAGTTTGTCTTGGCCCATCTTCAAAACCAGTATGGGTCTCATCTAACTTTTACAAAAAGAGCATACAATTGCACCAGTGGGCTTTATTTTTCTCATAGGTCCGATCTATAACGAACATAATAATTCGATATTTGTGATGGTAGAAAGTAATATTACCCGAAGAAATATAATTGAAATGCACTAAAAGTTAACTCAAACATAGACATTGTTATGCATTGAGTTTTTGACTTTTATGTATGGTTTTTAATGAACTTGCTAGCTACACACCATTTCAACGTTGCTCTTTAATTTGATGACTCTTTCTCAACAACAACAATATACCTAGTATGATCCCACATAGCGGGATCCGTGGAGAGTGAGGTGTACGCAAACCTTATTATTCCTACCTTGTGAGATAGAGAGGTTTTTCCGATAGATTGTAAGACTCCTCTTGTTGAACCACATTTCGTTTCCCTGTTTTTACATGCTTATGTATCAATTGTCTGCAATGGATTCACTTACCAGATAGCTATATTTTCAAAACACTTGGAAGAGTTATTTTCCAGAGTTTAAATATCACTAACATGATAAACAACAATAGAAAGAAAGATAATCACAATCATTCTACAAGAGTTGTATATTTACATATCATATTGAGAATTGGATGGGGTACATTTCTTACCTCAATAGACCATAGCGTAAGTAAATTTCTATCCTTCCCTCATCAATCCATAGCTCTTCAAGGAGAATTTGGCGAAACAAGACTTTCAATGTATAGATTAAGCTCACTTCCACGATCATATTCACAACGTGTTTGATCCTCAGGACGATCAAAACTGTCATCATCTCTTGAAACATACCACCACACTAAACCTGAAACGTCTTGCAATAGAATTTCATCATTATGAGAGATGAAAATCGGCCAAACCACCTTATTTACAAATTTAGGGATCGAACCCACAATGGTCCATGATTCTGCAAGTCCATACTCCTTCATTATCCACACATCTGTCTTGTTTCTATAGTCACAAGTCATACATAGATTACCAGATGAAGACACTAATTTCCAGTTAAAAGTGTCACCACTTGGGTTCGGCAATGCTACATTGCCAAACTTCTCATCTCCGGGGTTGAACCATGTCGCGTTATTACCACTACCACCACCAGTGATCCAATGAAGCTTTCCTTTAACAAATTTAACATTTTCAGGCAAAGAGATGCTTGGGAACTCTTGAATGGTTTTCCACGAATTATTTCGTAAACTATAAACACTAATATCAGCAATGAGATAACTAGGTTTACTTGCCACAATTTCAACAATCTGGTAATCATTTTGACATTCGATATAACCAAATCCATAAGCAAATCTACGTTTGCGCACATCAATTCCTGAATAAGGAAGTTTACTCAACTTTCTAATTGACGGATTCCATAGAAACAGATTCTCAATGTCATTATCATACCAGGTTTTGAAATAACGAACAATCCATCACATGAACCCAAAACATTATAACTTACACCAAAATTATGAAGCTCAACAGGAAAACAGGGAGATTCTCCATATAGAACTGCGTAAAGAGAAAAGGTACGGAAATATCTCCATCTAGTAATATGTCCGTCGTCGTGAATGTGAGAACCTGACCTGATACTAAGAACCCTGTGGTGAGAAAATTCTCGATTATTGGCTGAAAAATTTAGATGTGCTTTGACAAATTCGGGAGTTGAGATGCGAGAAATCCAGGATTTTGAAACAGATCTCATCTTTAGCAAGGTTTTCACAGGCAGCCTTATGAGTATTTCAAAAAATATTAGTTCTATAGGAAGAACTGAATTATCATTGGTTAAGCTAGCAATTGATGCTGTTGCTGCTGCTCTGCGTTTCGAGGTTTCCATTGACGGCGGCGGCGACGACTCCATTAGAGAGGCGAGCTGGGGAAGTTTTTCTTTTAGTATTTTTTTTATTTTTTTTGTTTCTTTCCCTTCTATTCCTAAACTCCAGGATTATTTATTTCTTATTTTGCTTTAATTTTATTTTAAGTTTAGGAAGAGAAAAAAAAACCTATTTGAAATCAAGTTTTGTTAAAAAATAAATAAAAAAAGGGGCATAATAATAAGGAAAAATTACCCACACATTTATTTAAAAGTGTCATTTTACTTGGCATGACACGTATATTGTTAAAAAGTAGACACACATGTCCTACTTGACTTCTTACGTGGCAATTCATATCCTACGAGACATCCTACATGTATTATGTCACGTAGGATGCATGTGTTTACTTGTTCAATTTTATACAAGTTTAAGCATTTATTTGTGTACACTCAAAATTGAAAGATGTGCACGGGGGCAAATCTACGTGGACTTCAGAGGGTTCATTCGAACTCACTGAATCAAAATTATACAATGTATATATGTTCAATATGTATTTAATGTCTATATATTTAATATTGAATCCCCTCAGCACAAGTAAATGACTTGGTTCAGTGGCTATGGGGTTCATAAGCTAATAGGCGTGTAGGTTCAAATATAGCCAACTAACATTTTTCAAATTTTTAGCTTGATATCTAGTACAACACTATTTAGCATGTTTTTTTTTTTGGAACCTCCTCAACGGAAATCCTAGCTCCGCCACTGGGTATGCATTAGTATACACTTAAACTCGTATAGAGTTGAACAAGTAGACACACATATTCTACTTGGCTTCCTACGTGGTTATTTATGTCCACACAGTATCCTACGTGGCATCTACGTGTATTATATCATCTAGGGTGCATGTGTCAACTTGGTCAACTTTATACAAGTTTAAGTGTTTATTTGTTCACACCCAAAATTAAAAAACATAAATATCAACTAACTTTAAATTAAAGGATATATATATATATACGAATTTTCAAGTTGTGTGTGTTTCAATTTATTCCTAAAAAGAAAGAAGTTAAAATTGTGTTAGCATGTGAATTTTACTTGAAAAGAAAATGGGAGTTTGTGGTGGAAAACATGAAATAGAGGAATTTGATGTTTGGAAAACTCCTAAAAAGAAGAAATTTCAACTTTAAATTCTTTATTTCAAGTTAAGTTGTCAAAATATGGATTATGGAGTACTTATTAATTTGCTTATAAAAAACTTATTTGAGATCTTTTACATTCTTTATTTTTTAAAAAGATGCTATGTGTATATCATAAGTTTATAATTCTCTATTTTCTTTTTTCTATGCTTCCAAATTCCAATAGCTAAATCGTGTGAATCCAAGAAAGTAAATATATGTAATTCATTTATTTTTTATATTTGGTACATCAGCAAAAAGAATTAATATTACTCTAAAAGATTGGTATATAATCTACCGTGCTAAAGTTGAGGTTCTGTTTCTATGGAATCCGTCGATTAGAGAGTTGTATAAACTTCCTCATTCAGGAATTGATGTGCGCAAGTATAGATTTGCTTATGCATTTGGTTATGTCGATTGTCAAAATGATTACCAAATTGTTGAAATTGTGGCAAGTAAATCTAGTTATTTGATTGCTCATATTAATGTTTATAGTTTACGAAGTAATTCCTGGAAAACCATTCAAGAGTTTCCAAGTACTATCTCTTTGCCTAAATCTGTTCAATTTGTTAAAGGAAAGCTTCATTGGATCACTGGTGATAGTGATGGTGGTGGCGGTGATAGTTATGTGACATGGTTCAACCCCAGAGATGCTACGTTTGGAAATGTAGCAATATTGCCGAACCCAAATAGTGACGCTATTGACTGGGGATTAGTGTCTTCATCAGGTAATCTATGTATCACTTGTGACTATAAACACAGGATGTATGTGTGGATTATGAAGGATTATGGAGTTGCGGAGTCGTGGACTATGGTGGGTTCGATACCTTCAATAAATATGATTAGGCCAATTTACATTTCTCGTAATGATGAAATTCTATTGCAAGATATTTCAGATTTAGTGTGGTGGTATGTTTCAAGACAAGATAGCAGTTCTCATAAAGGATACGAGCTTAGTCATTACGCTGACACTTTGTTAGGATGGGTGTTATCTTCTGCATCATAATGTATCGTTGTATTGATTGTTATGTATTGTTTCATAATGTATGTGTTACAATACAACAGATAACAACTATCCAAACAAGGTGTGGAAGTCTTGTTCACCATATTCTCATTGGTTTATGTCGCTTGTCGTGTTAATGATGTTTACACTTGGATCGTTCATGTATTGTTTCATAATGTAATGTAATGTATTATATTGTATTGTAATGTATTGAATCATATTGTACTTGTGTTGTATTGTATTGTACTGTATTGTGTCGTAACAACTAGACAAAACATAATTTGACATATCTTTCATGAATATTAAAGATGTATTTGAAAAAAAATGTTAAAGAAAATTTTATTAACTAGCAAATATATATTTTTTATTTCTCATATTGTAATACTATTTTCTAACAAATACGAGTAATAAGAATAAGTATTATTTGAACTCGAAAAACTATGGTAAGCATAAAAAATTACTTATCACTCTAGCTATAGTGTCACGTAAAGTAGAAAAAGAGTACACAAATAAAAGTAAAAAAAAAAAGAGTACAACAATTAACTTTTATAATTTTTAGGAGATTCTTATGTTTAAGAATCCGAAAAGTGTTTGGTAAACATTTGCTAGCTATCGGGGAAGTAAGTTGTTTATGCTTAAAACTAAGAGGAACTTTCACATATAGCCACTCAAAAATAGCATAATTATTCTCCATAGCTATAGTTTGATAATTACAATTCGTAGCTACATGTTATAGGGAGGAGAGAGGCGAGCAAGACTGGGAGAGAGAGGAGAAAGGCGAGCGAGACTGGGAGAGAGAGGAGAGAGGCGAGCGAGAGAGGGCAAAGAGTGGGCGAGAGGTGAATTGTATATGTATATCGGTTAGATAATTGTATATTATACATATGTATTTGTATATATGGCAACCGAGATTGGGAGAGGGAGGAGAGAGGCGAGCGAGATTGGGAGAGGGAGGAGAGAGGCAAGCGAGATTGGGAGAGGGAAGAGAGAGGCGAGCGAGGTTGGGAGAGGGAGGTGAGAGGCGAGCGAGACAGGGCAGAGAGTGGGAGAGAGGTGAATTGTATAAGTATATCGGTTAGATAATTGTATATTATACATAATTAATGTATAATGTTAGTCGCGAGTGGTAATTATAGCAAACTATAGCTATGATGAGTAATTAAGTAGTATAAGTTTGCTTAACCGCGTAATTTTCCCTAAAATGAATATGATTTTTGGCTTAGTTTAAAAATTCACATAATTAATATATGTACTAGCTATGAGGAAATTGATCTATTATCTCATGTTAGGTCGAAGATAAAATAACTAATATTAACATAATTAAGATTTGCGTAATGTTAATCAGTTATCAAACGATTTTTGAACTTCAACTTGTAAATGAACAAGTGATTTTAATTACCATATTAATCTAAAAGGTTAGATAAAGAAAAGAACAAATTTAACTAAACTCTCTCAACCGAAAGGTTTAAATTTCTATTAAAGAGTAAAGTCGTAATATTATTATAATTACCTTCTAGTGTACGTAAAGAAATAAGTAGGACCAAATAAAAAAGAAAAAAAGACAAAACAAAATGACGAAGATAGAGGGCCCCACTAAAGTGTGAGTTGCTCATCCTCTAGCTTGTACGCTTCAAAGCGTAAGCCACACATGCACCAATTCTTTTTTATCTCGACTGTTTTAATTAGACATTTCGAGTTCGAATTTTGAAATAATACTTTTTTATCAAGGTGCAGTTCAAACATTGAGTGGGAAAATAACTTTTTATTTACATATTTATTTTTTATAAAAAAATTAAAAAGAAATAAAAAAAAATTGATAAATTTATAAGAAAAGTGAAAAAAGAAATAATAGTAACTTGGCCATCTAATATATCCACAATGATCGGTCATGCTATTACTGTTCATAATGGAAAAAAAATAAGAATATTTGCCTAGTAATATAACGGATAGTATATGATAACAATAATAATAGTAAATGTTATAATTATTGCAAAAATAAAAAGGAAATGTCCTTTTAATATTCAAGTGATCTCTATTGAAGATATAATAATAAAAGCAGAGAGGAGATAATTTGAAGCAACAACTTTGTATTATGATGGCTATCTCTATCAACCTCATTAAATGCGGTCTTTTTTCAAATTATATGTGAAAGTGAGATGCTTTGTGCATCAAATTATCCTTTCATGATATAACGATATTTGGAAAGATTAATCTAAATTAAGTATATATATAGATTTTAAACCTCTTCAATCTAAAATTAGAGATTAATTTAGTGATTGAGTGAATTTAAGATTCACTTCTAAGTTTAAATCTCAAACACTGTATTTTTATTTTCAAACCTCCTTAGTAAATTTTAATAAAAATAATGAATCCGCCACTGATCCTGACATGTGAATTTTTCACTTCTTACCGTATGTTTCTCTTGCAAGCTACGCATCATTTCAACGTCGCACTTTCATTACTCTTTTGACTTATATGACTCCTCTTTGTATATATTATTAATGTTCCATTATATTCCCCCCTTAAACCAAATATTACAACCACTTTTTCTTTTCCCCCCCTGTTTTTACTTGCTTAACTTTTATTTAATATAATAAAATATCTTTTTTTTACCTCATTTCCTTTTACTTTAAACTGTATAAATACTTTTGCTAGCTAGAGTAAATATAATTTACCAAATTGTCATGCAAAAAAAAGACATAAACTTAGAGGAGACAATTTTTCTCCTATGAAATTCTGTCTTAGTTTCTTTTTCTGCTTTTTATAAGATTGTCTTTTTGCTCTTTTCATTTTCTTTAAATTCAGTGTGTGTTTTTGGGATTTTGTAAGAAAAAAAATTAAAGCAATGGAGAAATATTGTGGTTTGAGTCACCTATTCATGACAGTATTTTTGAGTTGTTTCTCTACATTCATGGTGATTCCACCTATGACTGATATTACATTATCAGCCATTTGTCCAGGCCAAGATGAATGCTCACTTGCTATTTACCTCACCGGAGTTCAACAAGCGGTAATCTTTCATCCTCTGTAACAATCTGATCCATCGTTTTGAGTAGTATTATTTTGAACTTGTTTGTATTTGATATTAACTTGTTTGTGACTTGTTGAGATAGCTAGAGTTTGAGTTTAGAGGGATTCAAACATGAAATTTTTGAACAGTCAATAACAAAGTCAGAATTATTATTAAAATGTATCATATGAGAAAGTTAAGAAAATTCACTATATATTTTTATGGTTATGCTGCAATAGCATCATGACTACTTTTATCACGATGGAAAATAGTTGAAATTCTTTTACACTTAGTTATAATTTGAGATTTTGAGTTTGTATATTGATAATTTCTTAATAGAAAGTGTTCTCTCATTTGATGTAAATTAAGATTAGTTGAATTAGTCTAAAGGAAAAAAGAAAAGTTTTTTTTTATCTCCTTTTCCTTTTTATCAACATTACTTTAATTTGTGGAGTTAAAATCATACTAATACGTATAACCATTTCAAGGAAAAAAAGTAGCAACTAATTTGCTTTTATTATCCATGTGAGTTGTGGCTGTTACTATCTACTCTTTCTACTTATACATCGGGAATCACTTTTAAGATTTGAGTACGTAAAAATTATTCACAGAATATTTATATAAAATTAATGAAAATAAGACATACATCATGCATATACGTTTTAAAAATATGTTATCATGATAAAGTAATATACATCTCATAAAATCAATACTAATATTTATTCATTGCTTATCTTACCATCAAAGCTATCTCTTTAGAGTTTCTAGTAAGTTTGATGGTAAGTTTCACCACAAAATTTTGAGGGGAAAAAAACACAAAAATATAAGGAATGTTTGAACTTTTACATATCTATTACACAAGATATTTGTATACTATTAATATAATTTAACATGTTGTAACATGTTATATCGGCTTTATTTTTTCTGATTATTTCTTAAATATACCTTTTTGCTAACCGAACAACATTAAATTTGTTTCACTATTGGTATAAAAAAGCTAAACTCTAAATAAAATATACTAATATAGTAAGGAAAATGAATGTTAGTATGAAACTAAGAGAGAAAACTTGAATTGAACATGAAAAAAAGTTGGTAAAAGAAAAAGGAAAAAAAAAAGAGAAAAAGGGTAAAGTGAATGCTTTTAATTTGATAGCTAGATAAAGAATCTTAGTGCGATGATGATGATTCTTCTTTTCCATTAGGTGATTAAAACTTCGATTGAGTTCTAATTAATTCAGATTTCGCATTGTGTAAGGCATATTTAGGGACAAACATTTTTTAACCTAAAGGATAGTTTAAGTGTATTTTTAACACTTATCTCTTTTTTTAATCCAAAATTCGAACGTAAACCTTCAGTTAAACAGTAAGGATCATATATTTACGTTTTTGGACCAGTTCATATAGGAAGTTTCCTTTCAGAAAAAAGTTAAATATATAGTCTATTTTTTTTGTATAAGAAGTTTCTTCTTCATTGGCTCGCTCTTTAAGAAACTTCCTTTTTAACTTTTTTGATCTGATATTTTTTAGAATTTATCACTTGTCAGTGAACAGAGTTCTCATGTTTTTCCTACTTCCCTCTTAAGCTTACCATATAAGGAAAGTGACATTCTTTTTTGGACTAACCAAAAAGGAAATGTTGCCACATAAAATGGGACGGAGGGATTATTATTTTTCCTACTTCCCTCTTAAGCTTCCCTTTGAACTATATATTTAAAAGTGAGAAAAGGGTCAAAAATATCCTTCAACTTTGTTTTATTGGTTGACTAAATTCTTACCGTTAAAACAAAGTTAGTTTTACCCCTGCCATCTACAAACTCATCATATGTACCCTCCAAATTAACGATTTGCCCCAAATCAATCTCAAATTCTCAATTTCAACCCGAATTACCCATTTAAAACTCATTTAGAATGAAATTCTTTTCTAATCTGATCCGACCCATATAAAACCCACCACCATTATAAACAAAATTTAATTTAATTTTCAATTTTCTCAATCTTGTTGAGTCCACCAAAACTAAAAAGAATGGATTTCTCCCTTGTCATTGAATTTGTTGTAGTGTTACTCATTCTGTAAATATTTTCAAAGCCATTGTTAAAAGCTTCCAAGGGTACTAGTTTTTGAATTGGAGCCTGAAACTTGAAGAACCAACCATGGAAACTTCATAGCCATTAATGGAGCTTGGAGCTTGAGTTTGATTTTCGAATTTTACAAGCGAGTTCTAACTTCGAAAAATCAATAATTTAAACTTCTTCCCCAAAATACCCAAATCGAAAACATCACACCCATTTCTTCACACTGAAATCACAGATCTGAATTTGTGTAATTAGATAATTCCCACCCAAAATTGCAGCAGCATGAACTTTTTAGTTTCTTTCTTGTTGTTGTTTTCTGGTGGAATTCAACCGCCTAGTACTGCCTTTTCACCGTCGTGTGCGGCGGATTTGAAGAACTAGTGAATATATCTATACAAGTGACTTTTGGGGAAGAAGGTTATTGGATTATTTCAATAGCAATATTGTTCTTATTTTTGTGTATGAACATAAGGCTGGCATGTCTTCTTCCTCTGCTTTTGCTCCTAACATTGCTTCTTAAAAGCTCATTAATGGCTGGAAATTTATTTGTTCATTAGGAATTGAAATGGGTTTTGGTGAATTCATTACTTTTTTTTTATACATTTGGTATGTAAGATCAGATTAAATGGGTTATGGGTCGGATTTAATTGATAATTTGTTTTTAAAGGGATAATTCGGGTCGAAGTTGAGAATTTGGAATTGATTTTGGGAAACCGTTAGTTTGGAGGATACAAATGATGAGCTTGTAGACGGGCAGGGGTAAAACTAACTTCATTTTAACGGTAAAGGTTTAGTCAACCAATAAAACAAAGTTGAGGGATATTTTTGACCCTTTTCCCTTTAAAAGTCATTCAGGAAAGATATAAGGTATAATAATTTTAAAATAAAGTTAGAATTGTTTTATCGCACGTTGATTGGAAGTACTAAGTAGTTCTTAAATTATTTATCCCCTCATATTTGTCATAGTGATGAAATAAGTTATCTCATATACATAACAGAATAACTTATGACGGAATAAGTTATTTCGAGATTAATTATCCCAAGATAACTTGTTCCCTATCAAACGACCTTTTACTCTCTTTTTTAAATGTATTTTTACTTTCTTATTTATATTTTATTTCCAATGGATTTTGGCACTTTTTTGGGGGACTAATTGAAATCAGTTGCTCGACTAATTTGAATTCATTACGAAGGCTTAATATTGAAAACAAGATGATATTCACCAAAAGAATTTATTCATTTGGTTCAATTTATGTGACACTCTTTTTTTAATCAGTTCCAGAAAAACCACACATTTTTTATATAATTTAGTAACATAACTTCAAACTTCCTATTTCATACCATTTTTTGTGGCTTGTTTTATATTACAAATTTTAGAAACGCAAACTCGAAATCTCTGATGAATATTTTTGGGCATGGTTTTTTTCACAACATTTCAGATAGTAGGATTGGGATCATTAGTGATGATGCCAGTGTTGGGGAATTTGTCAGACACATATGGGAGAAAACTCATGCTTACTCTTCCTATGACTCTTTCCATCTTCCCTTTAGGTAATCTCTACATTTTCTTATTCAGTTTAACTTAATCTAATTATTATATTTCGTTTTTTTTTTTAAATCGAGAGCGTTAAGAAAAGAGTTTAAGTTATATGTCCTAACGAACGACTTGTTATTGAAATGGCCCTAGCCATACTGGCATATAGCAGGACAAAATACTATTTCTACGCTTACTACGTGCTGAGAACACTCATTGCCATGATTTGTGAAGGAAGTGTTCAATGTCTTGCTCTTGCCTATGTGGTAATTCTCACACTTTAAAACATGAATTTTGTTATCGATTTTTTTTTTAGATCAAATAGTACTAGTTTGATATACTAAAATTACGCGATTTTTTGTTCATTTCAGGCTGATAATGTTCCAGAAAGTCGTCGTGCCTCTGTTTTTGGAGTCCTCTCAGGAATTGCTTCCTCTGCTTTTGTCTGTGGAAACCTCTCTGCTCGCTTCCTATCCACTGCTTCCACTTTCCAAGTACGCGATATTTTCAACTAGTATGATTTAAGTTATATATACTGATCGTTTAATTTTTATTACATTGTTGTTAATCGACTGTTACATGTGTGTAGGTTGCTGCAGCAATGGCAGTGATAGCTTTAGTATACATGAAGATGTTCCTCCCTGAATCGATAACGAAAGGTAACATTTGCTCGAAAAAATCAGAGACTAGTTGTCTATTGGAAAAAGCTCCAAAGAAAGGATTCCAATTTTTCAAGACATTGCCTTCTTTCAGTGATATGCTCTGTTTGTTGAAGACCAGGTTAGATTAAGACTTGTCTCAATTTTATTTTTTTATCGTTCAATGAGTCGATCAGAGACGAATTCAGGATTTGAAATTTATAGTCATTTTGAATGGACTTTGCAGCTCGACATTTTTACAGGCAGCTATTGTTTCATTCTTTGTCAATGTTGCACAAGTTGGCCTTGAGGCTTCTTTACTTGTAAGTTTGATATCGCATCATATTGTACTCCTTTCATTTCATTTTATATGATGACGTTTTAGTTGATACAAAGTTTGGAGAGAAAAGAAAGACATTAGACACATAGAGAAAGTACACTTGTATATAACTTGTGGTCTATATGGTACTAATGACGTGTCGTTAAGGGTAAAATGAGTAATTTAAAATTTAAAAAGTCTTCAAACATAGACATATGTCATTCTTTTTGGAACATCAACATTCTTTCTATATGGATTTTTGAACTTGAATGACAAGTTGATTTTTATCAAAATCTATGCAGTTTTTCTTGAAGGCACAATTTCACTTTAACAAAAATCAATTTGCTGATTTGTTGATAATTTCTGGGATAGCAGGATCTATATCACAGGTAACTTGATTTTATTTTATTTTTTTGTCATTTTTATTTAGTATATATTCATTTTTTTCTGATGTTTAATTAGTTTAAAAAATATTCTGATTTCTTTTTGTGCTATTGCAGCTACTTCTCATGCCCATATTAGCTCCTGCTTTTGGAGAAGAGAAGTTGCTTTCGATTGGCCTCTTCTTCAGTTGTCTTCATGTACAAAACAAATTTATCTATATATACTTAACTACATAGCCCCTTCGATTCAATTTATTTGTCTGGCTTTGACTTGACAAGTAATTTAAGAAAGTAAAGAAGACTTTTGAATCAAGTCGTCTTAAACTAAAGACATGAAGAATGTATTAAAATGTTCTTTAATCTTGTGGTATTAAACATGTCAGGTAGAAAGTTAGAATTTAAAGTTGTCAAAAAAGGAAAGTGAGAAACAAATTGAAACAAAGGGAGTACATGCTTTTAAGCTATTCAGAAACTTTGTTTTACTGATGTTGTCTCCAAATTCAATTGCAGATGTTGCTTTACAGCATTGCTTGGTCCTCTTGGGTAGGTCTCTCACCTCTTTACTACTCCTATGCTGTTCGGTTTCTTCAAAAATACAGTCGCACTCATATCAAATCCTTCATTTTCGGAGAATCTGACATGAGTGTTACAACATTTTTGAAGGATCCGAGCAACATGGCTTTCTCTCCTTCATGCTCCATAGGCTTTTATATGAGTGAGGTGTTTCTAACAAGTTAAATTCATGCAGGTCCCTTATGCTAGTGCTATGATCTCAATTTTGTCTATTTTTGCAATGCCATGTGTAAGTTCATTTGAATATAATCCATCTCTTGTTCATTAGTTATAAACATCAAAAATTGACAAAAAGGTTTATACTTAAATACAGTTAAAGAGCATTGCATCTAAGCAAATTGGGCCAAATGAGCAGGTACATATTCAACAATCACTACTAAACTTGTTTGGTTTAGCTTTAGGCCACTAATTTTATTGAGCCGCCTCTGACAACAACTAATTTTACTTTAATTTTTCCGTTTTAGGGAAAAGTCCAGGGATGCATCACAGGCATATGTTCATTTGCAAGTGTAGTTTCTCCACTAATTTTTAGTCCTTTAACAGGTAACTAAATAAGCCCTCTTTCTTTTGTTCTGTCAATTCTCTGTTGTTACATTTTTCGAACTTAGGTCAACTTAATCTGATGATATCGTTTCATTCCAGCTTTATTTCTATCGCAAAATGCCCCGTTCCATTACCCGGGATTCGGTTTAGCTTGTGCTGCATTTGCATCAGTAAGCACTTTCTCATAATTCATAATTCATTTTTTTTAAAAAAACTATGTTGCAATTACTTATATTATATGATTCAATTATATCGCAGATGCTAGCCTTCATTCAGAGTCTTATGATAAAGCCTGATGAAAATGTAACCAATTGGAGTGTAAATGATTCAAACTTAGCAGAACCATAGCCCATAGCCATGATTGGAGTAAATTGATTGTATATAGTATATAGTCTCATGCAATTAGTACTTTGAAGCCAAAATTTTAGTTACTTGAGGCTTTTGCTAATAGGATATTAAGAATGTATAGAAATGTATGATAATCCAAGTAGATATATTGAAGGTTCTTTAGTATATATGATCCACTATTTCTTTTATTTTTCATGAAATATTTGTAATTTATCTAAACATCATGAATGTCGTAGAATATCTTTGAATGGAACATGTTTCCTTAATTCTCCTTGATAATACTATTTATTATTTATTTTTTGATTTTTCATTCGTTATTCGTTATTCGTTATTCGTTAACAACTTCAATAATTTCTTTTACTTGAATATGATATTTTAAATATATATAAATCTTTATTTGTAGGAATTGATGAAGTATAATGTTTAGTGAGTAGGTGTAACTGTTCTTTTCTGAAAAAATGTGATTCTATCCGTGTGTACTAGACGATAGATTTAATTAATATCGATATAAAAATAAATGTGGTTCCACATAACTTATGATTTGAAAAAATCTCTATCTAATCTTTAATAGTGAAATCAATGAAATGGGGCCGTATGAAGTGACATGAATATATAAAATTCATTGACTCGCCTCTACAGAAGGTGGGTGGGGATCAAGAGAAGGAAGAATTTGTTTTCAATTATTCTAAGTCTGGCATAGTCTAGTCAATTAGATAATTAAACTTATGTATTTTGAACTATGTAAACTTAATCTTTTTTTTAAAAGCGGATGAGATACGGTTTTGTTATGTAAAAGATTGAGTTCAACCCACGATGAGTTATTATGAATTAATATCCATTTGGTAACAATAGAAATTACTATCCAAAAAACCAATAGAAAGTAGAAACAAATATAATAAAAAAGGGCAAAGCAGTCTGATGCACAAAGAATCCCACAATCATGCATGGGAAAGAGTCGCATTTTAAGGAGTGTGATATAAATTATTCAGCGTTAGTAACTTCTTTCACAACTCAAACTCGTAATCTATAGATCACATACAAATAATTTATCGTTATTTCAAGACTTCTTTTCATAAACAAATACGACATTAGTATATAGTAAAAAGAAATATTGGACGCCTTGTTTTGGTCGTTTCGTGACTTGCGAGGATTAACTTGCTTAATTTATAAATTAAGTAATGACAATTAACCGATTGACCACATAAGTGTTAATTTGTGCACAACATTCAAAAACAAGTTATCTTGGAATTGGATAAATAGAAAACAAAGTTGTTGTTGTTTTGTTGGAACTAGAGAGAATCAAATAATCTTTATATATATATATATATATATATGAAAAAAACTTTTTGGCCAGAATGATATTTTATCTATGTTATTTTATTTTTTAAAACATTTTACCCTTTTAACTTTAATATATTTTAACTAAAAAATGAAAAAAAAATCAGTTTATTTTAAAATTAAAAAAATGTTATAGTTTTTAAATTTTCTGATCATTTAGCACTTCCCTATATATATATAAAGATTGTTCGTGAAACTAAATGCTTGTAAAAAGAATATACAGATTAATTTGTGAGAAAATTATATATTATTATGTCTAACAATACTTGTCAACTATTGATTTTGTACACTTCTTAAGAAACTATAAATAGAAGGAGGGTAATTTTACTATATCACCCTTTGATTGTAATAAATATAATGTCTGAAAATGTAATAGAGAAATAGCTACAATTAATTATAAGGATAAATTAGGAACTAAGTATAAAATCATCATTGATTTCATAAAGTGGACAAATATTGTTGGACATCCAAAATAATAAAGTGAACAACTATTGTTGAGAGAGTAGTAATTTAAGAAACGTTAATAGTGTGATACTATTATTCAAAAAAGAACATTAATTTAAGAAACATTAATTTGTCTAAATAATATGCCTATTTTAAAACATTTCAAAATTGAACATTGATATATAATTTAAGAAACATTAATTTGTCTCAAAAAAATTTCTTGTGTTCTATAATTTGTTTTGATGTGGCCTCAAAAAAAATTGCTTGTGTTCTATAATTTGTTTTGGTATGGCCATGGCTAAAGAGAGGAACATTTGTTTGGATTATATGCAAAAGGCATAACAAAAGTAAATGCATAAATGAAAACTTTCGAAATCTATTGGTTTATTTATTCCCTATGTCCATTTTATTTATCATATTTTCTTCACATTTTAAGAAAATATTAACTAAAATAATCTAATTATTCTTGATTCTATTAATATTATTTACTTTTTTCTTCATATTTATTTGGCAGGGATAAAAATTACAATTATCAATTTATTATATCTTCCGATTCTTAAAAATAACAATTAACTACATCTAAAATTGCAAGAAACTTTAAATTGGACGTATTCATCTTTTTTTATTTCAATAAACATCCTATCCATTATTTTGGCTCAATTACATAAACACGATAATTAAAATGCAAGAAACTATAAATAGACGTATTCATCTTTTCTACTTTTGATAGGCATCCTAACCATTATGTTAGATCAATTACATAAATACGATAATTAAAATGCAAGAAATTTTGAATTTGACGTATTCAACTTTTTAAATTTTGATGGGCATCATATCCATTATTTTAGATCAATTACATAAACACGATGACTAAAATGGATCGAAGAAATATCTAGTAAAGGACACTTTTGGAATTTTAATCATTCGAAACAAAAATAAGAATTTTGGGGTCAATTTGACCAAACTTAGTATTGGACACGGAAAATAGCCACGTGTAATACTATTTATTGTAAACTTCAAAGTCCAACGCTTCGAACGTGTGCTCCATTTCTCTCACAATGTATTAATTTGCTGATTTTCTGTTTCTTCTAACCACCACCTTTCTACTTTTTCCCACCACCGTTGGCTACGGCGGAGACACCAATTTTTGTTCATTTTTTTCCTTCCCGTCGGTTAAAAACTCCGCCATAGCCGGCGGTTACACGATTCACCTTTCAACTTTTTATATATCACATTGCCTCATTTTTTGTGTGGGTAAATTTGTGTATATATATATCAATGGCGGATGAGAATTGTGAAAATGTGGTATATCTTCATGGAGACTTTGATTTGAAGATTATAGAAGCTCGAAGGTTACCTAACATGGATTTGGTAACCGAACGTCTCAGTCGATGCTTTACAGCTTTAGATATCTGTCGGAAACCGTTTACTCGCCGGAGAAGGAAAGGTCATCACCGGAAAATCATAACTAGTGATCCGTATGTTACGGTTTGTTTAACCGGCGCTACTGTGGCGCGTACGCGCGTGATATCGAATTGTCAGGATCCTGTTTGGAATGAGCATTTTAAAATCCCGCTTGCTCATCCTGTTTCAGTTGTAGAGTTTCAGGTTAAGGATAATGATGTTTTCGGTGCGGATTATATCGGCGTTGCTACCGTGCCGGCTGAGAAGATCAAGTCCGGTGAGCTAATTGATGATTGGTTTCCTATAATTGGACCTTATGGAAAACCTCCAAAGCCTGATTGTGCGATTCGGCTGCAAATGAAATTCATCCATTGTGATGGTAATCCGGCGTATAACGGCGGTGTATCAGAAGATTGCGGCCTGAAAGCGAGTTATTTCCCAGCGAGGCACGGAGGATCTGTTATTCTGTATCAGGACGCGCACGTGCCTGACGGAATGTTGCCGGAGATCAAATTGGATGATGACAAGATATTCGAGCATAGCAAGTGTTGGGAAGATATATGTCATGCGATATTGGAGGCACATCATTTGGTGTACGTGGTAGGGTGGTCAATTTTTCACAAGGTGAAGCTGGTGAGGGAGCCAAGTAAGCCGTTGCCAAGCGGCGGAGATTTGACACTTGGAGAGTTGCTTAAGTATAAATCGGAGGAAGGTGTGAGGGTATTGCTGTTGGTTTGGGATGATAAGACTTCTCACAGCAAGTTCTTCATTCAAACGGTATGATATTTGCTCCTTTATGGATAATCTTATGGTGATGATTTTCAATTTGATTAATAGATTGTGCCACTTGGTATTATATAGCATTAGACTAGTTGGTGAGGCACATTATAATAATCTACTTTAATATGCTTTCCTTTTTGGAACTTTATATGTTTGTTGGGATCATGTAGATTGTACAGTGATAGAATTCTCTCTCACCCTTTTCCCTTTTTGAATCTTTGTTCCTATTCATTTTGGGGAAAAAAAATTCTAGGCTGTATCTTTCCTCTCCTAACATGGAAACTTTAAAATCCTGATCTTTTCTTGGTATCATAGAAGGATGAACAAATGAATTCTTTCATTGCAGCTGATAACTATGCTAGGTCCAGGGCTCTGCAAAAGTACATGCCAATTATAACTTTATTTTTGCTTTTTAAACCAACCAGAAAAAGAGGGAAATACCGTGATTTCCCATTTTGGAAGTTGTTAAGTGGAGTAATGGACTATGATATAGGTCAAAGATCTAGAGGCTTATGAAGATTGACACATCGTGTATTGTGAGTTCATGAAGCAGTACCAACTTTATAGGCGCTTGGCTTCATCCGTTGGAGGGCCTGATTTTCCCTAAGCTTACACTTCTCGATATTTTTGGCACTACCTTTATGCCCTCAACAAGAATTGTTCTACGGAGGACACTTGTTACCCTCATGCACTTTTGAAACTTGATGGTATTACTGGACACCTTCCTTGAGCGCATTTAAAGCTCTTCTTAAGTCTATCCCCATAGCCTGTTCTGTAAGAGACCTCAATAATCATTTTGTTGAGCTTTCCTGTTTCTGTGTGCAGCACCAGCTTAATATGATGTCAAACTGTGTTTGAAGTTTGTTAGGTGGTAGTCTACCTCATGGAATGAGTGGATTGTAAAGGTAGAATCTTTTATAGCTAGAAGATTACTGGTGCTTGTTTCAAAAAAAGTTTTTAAAAGCCTCTCGAGAATATATACTTTGACGAATGATCTATGGCAGCTGAATGGGGCCATTCAAGGGCCATAACTG